CCTGAAACACAACGCCCCTTTCTTTTTTTTTTTTTTTTTTTCCCATTATTCTCGTTTCAAAAGCTGCGCGCTTCGTCGTGCATCAAGCACCAAGCAAACCAATCCAACAAGAAAAGTACTTGCAGAGCAACACAAACCTCGATTTCCATTACGTTCCATACATTCATTCATTCATTCATTCACCGATTTAATTCACCCATCAGTCAGTCCTTTGTCAGGTCCTTCGTTGACGGTTTCAACCATCGTTCCCACAGAAACCAAACACTCCCTTTTCTCTTTTAAAAAGCAGCTGTCGGCAGGCCAGAGCTTGCTTCCTACATTACCTGCGCTACCGCTTTTACCTTCATCATAGCCACCCCAACCTTACATAAACACCCACAACCCACGGGTCGAGTTACTTGTAGTATCTGATTTTTTCGAACCCGAAACACGAAACACGCCGCTTGCCTGCGGCGCTGTTTGAGGTGAGGCATTGGCCTCACCCCGTTCTCGGCTCTACATCTCGTTTCCAACGGTTGCATGTGGGGATCAATCGCTGATCTTAAGAGAAGGCCCCAACCTTCTTTTTATTATCTGAAAGGGAGTCTCTTGAACATACACACACACACACACACACACACACATACACATACACACACCCCTTTGCGTGCGGCAGCCTTTAAAACACTTCAACGAAAGAAAATTAAAATATTACCGTATACCCCCCATGGCAACAGCCACGATGTCCAGCTCGCTGTCCCGAGCCTTTACAAGCGCACCCAAGAAACCCCTCGTGGTTTCAGCACCCATGCCCTACCGCGAAGGCCAGCTCAAATTACCCGCAGGCACCATCAAACGCAACGAGATCTCTCTGCCCGTGCAATTGCTCTCAACTACAAACCTGCTCGCATACACCGCACCCGATCTCGAGAAACCACGTCACAAGCTCCAATACCGTGATCAACACCAGCAACACCAGCAACACCAGCAACAATCGCAGACAACGTCAACGTTGAAGAAAACATCCGCATCGTCTGCCAATTCCTCCTCGTCCTCCTTCCGCTCCGCTGAAGATTCAGATGTCACTACAAACTCCTCAGCGGCATCCGTATCTTCCTCATCCTTTGTCCATACCTCCAGCAATACCCCCCTTATATCCCCTGAAATGTCTTCGGCAGAAGAACACTCCCCCGTCGCGCCAGAACCAAACCATCTATCCGGGTACTTCAGTAAGCCTGCCCGCTCCAGCTCTACCGACGAGGCCCACCGCCACCGCTCCTCCATGTCCTCGTCAATCTCCTACGCAACGCCCAAGCTACCACGGAGATCCATATCGCATACCAAGAAATTGCATCAGGAAATCGCGCGCCAGCGCTCAATATCACGGAGCAGTAGCAGCAGCAGCAGCAGCACCACCACCACCACCACCACCACAACCACCACAGGACCACCGCCAACTTCGCTCACACACTCCCACTCCCTCTCCCTCAGCCGCAGCCGCAGCCACAGTCGTAGCAACAGCCACAGCTCCAGCGCACGGCTAAGCACAGAACGCCTCCGCCCGCTCCCCGAATCAACCACCCTCCCCCCACCCTCCACCTCCCTATCAACCCAACAGCACCCCTTCGGCAAGGAACTCGAACAGGTCAACGAAGTCGCGGAGGAGTTTGGGTTCGGGGATCGTGCGGCGCATATCGCGCCTACGACGACGGTGACGGTGACGGCGACGGCGACGGCGACGGCGAATGATGCGATGTTCCTGGAGGATGAGAGGGTGCTGGCTTCGAAGGGGCTACGTAGGTTTGCGGTGGAGGAGTATGCGGTGGAGGTTGAGGAAGTTTATCGGGCTATTTTTGATGAAGGGTTTGTGGGTGGGGGGGATGTGTGGATATAGTGGAGCGATTGTACTCCCAGATGCCAAAAGGAAAAAAAAAGTGGAGAAAGACGACCGTTAGATGGAGGGGGTGAAACTCACTGGAATGGCTGGATCGATGGAATTTTTGTCCCTTTTCAAGTCAAAGCGGGACCAACCACTTTGCCATTCCAGAGTCATGATTTGATCTTTGTTGTTTCTGTGTTTTGGTTCGGTTTGTTAAACGGCTTGCTCTCTTTTACGGTTATGGTTTCTACTCTGCAGTTTTTCTTCCTTGCGCTAAGCTTTCTCTCTGTGCGCCTTTGCGCTTCCACCAAATGTTCCACTGTTAACACCACCCCCACCACACCCCACCTCCCACCAGCCCAGCTTGATATCGATTGAAAAATCTCTTTTACTATATTCCCCGCTCGCGCGTCTTTCTGTTGTATTTATTCATGTTCATGTTTGTTTTTAGTCTTACCTTTTCTTCCACTTTTGACGCTTTTTTTAACGAGTTATTTCGAAAGCCCACCTCCCACTTTGTTCATGATATCGAGTACACCAAGTTTTTAACAGAGGGGAAAATCCTTCGATTCTAATGTATCAATTATTGTTACATTGACAACTCTTTTTTTTTTTTTTTTTTTTTTTTTTTTCTGCTGCTTTTCAGTTTGTTTTGTTTCCCCCGCTCATTGAAATGGGCGGGACTATACAATTGCCAGTCTTGTGCTGAGGGGGATGTAACATGATATTACCAGCAGAATCAAAAAGTCTTAACCAGTACATTTATCTCAACATTTTCTCAATCCCTCTCATTCATTCATTTTTTTTTTTTTGTTTGCGACGTGACTTTTCTTCCTGCGAAGTTACAACTTGCAGTTTCACGGCTGAATTGAACAATGCGAGGGCTCTGTTACATCACAACTACACCACAGCTACACCTACAGCTACATACATCACAGCTAAACTTCCAACCCCCTCCTTGTGCCCTCCCTCTCGCCCTCATCTCTCCTGCCCAGTGGCTAGCTACTACGAACAGCATCCAACCCGAGGCTCACCCAAGTTACCCCCCGGTGCCTCCTTGTGCCCTGTCCCGACATAAACCGGGTTACACGCACTTCTCTATTGTCCTCCCTCTACCCCTCTGCCTCTGCGTTGCGTGGTGGAAGCGTTGTGGCGTAGTGACCATGACAATGGCTCTGGAGGCTATGTACGTGACCTAGGGTGCAGGTAGGGACCCGAATCCACCTGATATATTTTGTGTGTGTGTGTGTGTGTGTGTGTGTGTGTGTGTGTGTGTGTGTGTGTGTGTGTTGCGCCGGCTAAATATACATATTTTGGTTGCGTGGTCTCTCGGTTTGAAGGAGCGGGCTAGGGTTGGGAGGTCACGTGGATATTTGTGTGTATCATCTGTGAATGTAACCTGTCAGAGAACAGAACTGGGAAACGGATATCGGATGTATCAAGAGTATTTGGATATTTAATAAAAGGCGCAAAAGGTGGAAGACGAAAGAGAACTGTTTGTTTCTCGAGGAAAAGAAGGGGAAGATCACCCCGCCGCAGCTTGAACCTATGTACTCCGTCAGCAAGTTCCAATGGATTAGTTAGTTAACTATATACGTCGAAGTGACAAATTTGTAACTAGCTGAGGCAGCTTCCTTCACCGCTTTTCAAATGTTGGGGACAAATTTTGACAAACTTTTTTTCGCTGCTCCAAACATCGGGACAAAAAGAAATCCTTCCCACAACAACAACAGCAACAACAGCAACAACAACAACAACAACAACAACAACAACAACATCAACATCAACAACAACAGCAGCAGTAGCCCAGAAACCTGTTGCATCGTCATCGGCTCTCTTCCGCTCCCATCTTCATTTTTTCTGCTTTCACTGCTATCTACGTCCCATTTCGGGTGCTACTTTTAATAAAGGGAAAAGCAAAAGGGATTTAACTTCCCTCATGTCAAATCTTAGCCCTCGTCACTGGAGAGGAGGGGACATCACGATGATAATATGATTCTGCGTCATCCAATTGCCTCTTCGTGCATTCTTTCCTTACGGGCACCGCCTCTGGAGTTGCATTTAATATCATTATATACTCCTAGATTGTATTGCAGGGGAGAGATACGGAAATTCAGAACCACCTCTTAACAGTGCGTGAAAATTGTGTAGTGTTGCCGTTCTGGCCTGTGTGTTTTTGTCAATCACGGCTTTATCCGTACATCAATCTATATCCACATATACAGCTGCGGATTTCCGGGAAGTGCTGTACATATCTGAAATCTTATACCTCCCTTATCCATCTCCCCCCATCTCATCCGGCCTGCCTGATCTGACTCTGCCGTGACGAGTCGCACCGAGGCGATATCCATCCATCTTTCCGAACGTCTAGGACGAAGAAAATATTTTAAAAATTTGGAATAAAACTGAGAACGCCCATACGAAAGAAGAACCCTGCGAAAATGGTCTCTGCAGTCCCCGTCATCGAAGCCATGGCTACTGCCCCTTCCATCAGCTCCAAACTGAAACCGTCCAAATCCATCCTCAAATACCCCTCTTCCTCCTCTACCACGAGCATCATCGGCCAGAAGCGCAAGAGGATCGATATCAGCATGTCATCATCCGCCAGCGCAGACATATCCGCCTCATCCGACGCAGAACGCGATGACGGCAACTGGAATGCGAATGGGGATGGAAACGATGACGACGAAGACGACGACGGAGCTGCAAGTCCCATAACACGCCCATCATTACCGTTGAAGAAACGGGCCCGTGTCAAGTTCGAAATGGACCTGCATAATACTAGTGACAATAATGGGAATGATAATGGCAATAGTAACGGCATGAATGGCGAGAAGAGCACGGCGATGGTACGCGAGGAGGTCCGAAGGGCTATCCAGCGCCACCTAAATGGTGATAGCGAGTTGTACGATCGTGTCAAGGAGATATTTACGGCGGATCCGAAGGAGCTGGAGGAGGATGGGTCGGCTGTGTATGACGTCCCGTCCCCGAAGGTGTTGAGGAATTACTTGTTGGGTCTGTTTTCCAATGTGTCCAGTCTTGATGGGAGGTGTAGTGGGCTTGTGCATGCTGTGCTGGCCAGTGAGTGGCTGGGAAGGGATGAAGGGTATGTCAGGTTGTTTGTGAGGTTCTTGGGAACGCTGGCGGCAGCGAGGGGGACGTATTTGAATTCCGTGTTGAGGATGCTGGTGATGGGGCTGAGGCAGGGTGAGTTTTGCTATCCATTTTTTTCTCTGAGATATTCTTCTGTTTTGGACTACTCGATTTTGTGGAAATAGCCTGGCTAACTGACGATTCCCGTGCAGTCGATCCTCGTACTGGAAAGCTCCCTGGCTTCCCTGTTGTGTGTCCGTCGGAAATGTACGCCCGAGTTCACATGGCGACCAGTTATATCGTTCAGCTTGTTCCCGCCGGCAGCAGCGCCTTGTCTCCCCTGATTGCATCTAGTTTTCCGCATGACACAGACTCCACAAAGGCGCATATTATTTATACACGGAACATCATTAAGATCATAGACTACGCTCCTGAACTCCGCTCGGAAATCCTTGCTCTGATTACTGAGAAGCTTGTCAAGCTCGACGTGCAGTTTCAAGTGGATCTAGAGGATGCAGACGAGGATATAGACGACGACAATGTCCCGGACATGTCCTCCCCCGAGGAAATTGCATTGTGTGATGAGGACGGCATTGAGTCAGATGCTGAGACCGCCGCCAGTGACGACGACGATGACGGCATGGCTGATTCCGAAACCCAGCGTGCCAAAAAGCGCTCCGAAACCAAGCAAAAGATCGACTATATGATCGACCTCCTATTCGAATACTACTCCTCACCCTTCACAAATGGCACGTTCGACGAAAAAGAAACAGCCAACGACCTTCTCCTCGCCCACTTCCAAACCATAATCCTCCCCACCTACCGCTCCCGCCACACGCAATTCCTCCTCTTCCACTACTCCCAATCCTCCCCAATCTTCATCGACCGCTTCGCCACCACCTGCGTGCAAATCATCTTCTCTAAATCCCAACCAACAATCCTCCGCCAATACGCCGCCGCCTACCTCGCCAGCTTCGTCGCCCGCGGCGCCCGCGTCTCCAGCGAAGTCGTCCGTGACGTCTTCGACCTGCTGGGCACGCACCTCCAAAGCCTCCAGTCCGAATACGAACCCAACTGCCGCGGCCCGGACCTAAAACGCTACGGACCCTTCTACTCCACCGCCCAAGCCCTCCTCTACATTTTCTGCTTCCGCTGGCGCGACCTCACCAACGCCGCGTTGGAAAGCGACCTCTCCTTTCCTCCTTCCTCCTCCCCGCCGCACATTAACAATTTAGATCTCGACGACGTCCACTTCCCCCCGCAAATCAAAAACCTCCTCCGCCGCACCATCTACTCCAAACTCAACCCCCTGAAGGTCTGCTCCCCCTCCATCGTCTCCGAATTCGCCCGGCTCACCCACCACCTCTCCCTCATGTACATCTACCCGCTCATCGAGACGAATAAGAGGCTCCGCATCTCTTCATTCCGCAACCTAACGACGCTGGCGCTGGAGTCGCGGTTTGGGCAGGTGGAGAGGGAGATCAAAGCGGATGATGATGCGGGGCTGCTGCTTGATGCGTATTTTCCGTTTGATCCGTATCATCTGCCGAGGAGCCGGAGGTGGATTGTTGGGGATTATTTGGAGTGGAAGGGGATTCCGGGGGTGGATGAGAGGGGGGAGGGGGAGCGGGAAGGGAGTGAGAGGGGGTTTAGTGAGAGCGAGGAGGAAAACGGGTCGGATGAGGATTTGGCTTGCGGCTCCTGACCAGGAACCCCGTTCCTTTCTTTCTTTCATTCATTATTTCCGCCCCCCCCCCTTCTTCTTCCCTTGACGATTTCTCTTATTGACCTTGGTTGCCTCGAATGATGTTTCGAAATCTGGTTCATTTCCATATCCTGAGGTGGATTGGTCACATTTATCGGGATGATTTGTTGGGGTTTGGAGATTTCCCTTTTTATCCATTTTTTAATTATCAAGTTTTGTTTTTGAGAGCATTTTTGTCTACATTCCATTTCGTGCCTAGCTTTTTATTTTGTTCTTTTTATGTTTATTTATTTGTTTGATTTTGTGATTATTTGGTTACTCCCTATCTCCCATTTTCGTGGCGAGTGTTTGTCCATTCGTCTTGCCCCAAAGTCGTTGAAAACTGGACAAGTCTGTTTGGTGCGAGAAGAGCAAGCTTGGGATGAAAATAAAAGTATGGCGAAGGGGGTCTTTATGTGAATACGAGTTTTGAGTTAGACTGTTGGTGGAACGTAGGTGCTGTACCTGAACACTAGATCAGGACGGAAGATTAGGATAGTTAGCTGTAATCCACGTTGGAAATGAACAGATATATTCAAAGGAGATGAACTTCGATAGCCCGAAAGAAAAATCAACTGACGTTATAAACTGCACTGCTCTATACTCCGTCCGTCATTAATAATACAAAATCCAATAGTAGTCTATAAAACAGGCAACCTCTTCAAAATGTAAGAGAATAAATATATAAAAAAAAAAAAATGGTGTAAAAGAAAATGAAATCCAACAGACATGTATGTATATATACCGAACCAAAAAGTTAAAAAAAAAAGAAGAAGAAGAAAAAAAAAAAGAAGAAGAAGAAAAAAAAAAAGAAAAGAAAAGAAAAGAAAAAAGAAATCCTTCTCCATCTATTTCTACCTCCCCCTCTCAAAAATGCCCCTCATCTCCTCGCAAGCCTCCTGATACAAAAGATCCACAGACCCCTGATCCCTCAACGGATTCACGCTCTTATCCCACGCATGGCCCTGCCCCGCCACCATCATCGACCGCACCTTCTTCCCCAAACCCTCCAACTTCTTCGCAAACTCCTGCCCTTCCTCCAACAGCATATCCCACTCGCACACGTACAGAAACACATCTGCCGGCAGCGCCTCTGCCAGCATGGTATCTGTTGCACGCAGCGGGGAGGCGAAGGGGGATACCCGATCTTCCAGTCTGGGGACGTAGGACTCGTCGAAGAGGTTTGTGAGGAAGTCCGGGAGGCGTTTGTCGGGGTTCTTGGAGCGGTTACGGCGGGTTTCGCGGGTTATGACGAAATCGAGGATTGGGTACCAGGCGAAGATGCTTTGGAAGTTTATGCTGGGGGTTGGGGCTTGGGCTGGGTGGTGGTGAGTTTCTGTTTCTGGTTGGGGAAGGGAGTGTGTAGAGTGGTTTAGGTGGCTCAGGAGGAACTGGTTTGAGTCAATTTGGCCAAGGTCTTCGTAGCTATATCCGCTTGCTGGGGTATATACACCTGAAAATGGCTCCTGCTGTTGGTCCTGGTGCTGCTGATGCTGCTGATGCTGCTGATGCTGGTGGTGATGGTGGTGATGCAGTTCGATGGTACGATGATATAACCGCAGCGGTACGGTGACGGCCAGATTCCCCCCCGCGGAAAATCCTGTGAGACTCACGCGGCTCATATCCAGCGAGAGCACTTCTGAATTGGCTTCTAGATAGAGCAGGGCATCAACGCCATCGTCTACGGCAGTCGGGAACGGGTTTTCAGGTGCCAGACGATAATCTACGCTCACAAAGACGGCTTTGGCGCGAGACACGGCTATTCGCGCCCAGCGGCAATCGTCAGTTGCAGAACCGATAGTGAAGCCGCCGCCGTGGAAGTTTACGACCACGGGCCATCTTTTGCCGTCCGGGGAGTTGGTCTGGTAATTGGCCGGTGTGTAGAAGTGGAGGGTTATTATATCTTTTAGTTTAGAGAAGGAGGGAAGAGAACGGACGTGGGAAGCGCACACGTAAGAGATGGGGGAGGAGGTAGGTTTAATGGTTCTGGTGAAGCATGGGATAGGCGGACTGGGGAATGGGTAGCCGTGCAATATCATGCCGATTTTCATGAGGATTCGGAGGGTGGTGGCTTTGATGCGCAGCCATAGGCGGCTAGCTTGCTGGCGGTCATTTTGGGTCTGCTTTCTCGGTCCAGTAATGCATATATACATGACCTTGAGATGGGTTGCATAAGAACGAACGAGGGGGGGTGTCGGGGCGAGCGAACGTTGGGATAACTATTGGATATACAGGTGGGTGATTTGTCTGATTTTATCTCGAAACTCAATTATATGTTCACAACGGTACCTTTTGAAGACGTTAAACCATGAGATCTCGAAGTCTAACGTCGTGCGGAGGTTTGGAAGGTTTAACGAGTTGAACCGGCCCAGGAGGAGCGGGATTACGTCATCCTGCCCGGTTTTGCGTGAGTTACAACCGGAGACTTCATAACTAGCTCAACTTCTGTAGTTAGTCAGGTATTCGAGAGGTTTCATGGTACAGTGGCTCAGATCTATATTTTCTCGTCGCAAGCCGCTTCTAACGTCACCTGGCTGCCTTTCCAAGACCCTTTTGGCTACTGTGGGATTTCTCTCTCAGAAATTCCCCAACCACGAAGTTGCATTTGTAACACTTATGTGGCGAAGTTGCTGGGATCGCAATGCCATAGAAGACAGCTCTATGGGCCTCCCTAGGTATGTACGTCGAAAGTACATACATATGGTTTGCCTGTGGGAGCCTCGAAGCAGCAGACTTGGTGACGGACAGATCAATCGAACGCAGAAAGTCATTTTCCTTTTTGGAATCCTGTGCATTGATTCACAGCACAAGAGCTCTCTGCTGCTGTTTTACATACAGCAAGCAAATATAACTACAGAGTTGCCACTGTGATAGTGTCGCGGGTTGAGGCCATCTCCCTGCGAATCTACCCCACGGTAAGATTCGAATATCAGCTGAGATAGTTATTGATCTTCCGACAGTCGATAGACTCTTGAAGTTAAAAGGAGGTTAAGTATGTCTGATAGATAATGTTTAGGGAGTCCGGCGTCTGCTTTAGGAATCTTTTTGCGAATACTGTAGCAGACAATTAGTTACACCTTTGGTCTTTCTCCCGTTGTTCAGTCAAGCGCTATAAAGAAAGCCCACTTCCGGGACGATATACATAGTTAGCCCTCAGCCTTATTCACACGCAGGCATAGGGGATTATCAGACAAAAAGAGAATTTTTGAGGCGGAAGATGTGATGATGAATGAATAATGTTGTTGGTCAAGATTGTTAGTGAAAAGCCGAGGAAAACAACGGTGACATAAGCATGACATCATCTCCCCGCCTGTCACGGAGAGCCCGCAAGTCTCCGGATTTGTTGTGCCCGTCAAAACCAACTTTACATTCTCGGGCTGCCATTGGTAAAATGTACATAAAACGAGAAAGAAAACTAAATAGGAGACATCTATCGTGAGATTTAGGCCTGGTTGGACTCATGTTCTTGTGTGGGACTTCTATGACGATTGTATCGACTGGTGAACCCCTTCGCAGCTTTGATGCCATCCGACTTGCCGAATCCCTGGTATTTTTGAGTAGTCAGCCCTAAGAGCAACAATCCGGTACCCGCTTTCTTTTTATTCTGGCGCATTCCGTCTCGTTCTCGGTCATTTTGGGTTACTATTAGTCGTTTTATATCCGGGATCAGGGAGATGCCTTGCATTTGCTTAGAAATGACGAAATGGGGTTCCGCCTCCGGCTCTTCCTTTGATTATATATATTCCAACAGCCCCAGGAACAACTTTTTGGGACCTGACATGTTCTATAACTATGAAGCATAGAAGAAGGATCTGATCATAGGGGCTCAGCATACCTTGAAGTTTTAATTTTCTCAGATCTCAAGGATCCTTCTTGTCTGAGTACGTGTTGAAGTTCCTCGTCTTCGCTCATTTTCCCCTCCCCTCAATCTCTCTAACCCCTGTCGCCACGTTTGACACTAGCTGTTCCAGGCCATCAGAGCCAAATCAAGAAATCGGCAGCGGTTACGTCGTTTTTACACAAAGCTTGGTTGTTCCCCTTGCATCTTTTGGACCTGGCATGGACCAAATACCACTGTGTGGTTGCCAGAGTTAAAAATGGCGGCCGAACCCGCCCTCCCAGTTGTCGCGGAACGATCCTCCAAATCGACCGAGAAACATCAAAGGAATTTGTCTATCAACATGTCTATCAAAACAGCCCTGACGAAGCTGAAGGAAACAGCAAGGCCGTCTTCCGACAGTGAACATTCCCCGACTCGGAAAAGCCTAGCTAGCTTCTTCCTTGATAAAGATATCGCATCTTCCAGTGATGACTTATACAGCGATGATAGCGAAGGCATGAGTAAGAATGAGCAGAAACGAAGGGCACGGAAACAAAAACGGGAATCGGGAACGCGATTGAGCGGGGAAGTTAGGGAACACTCGGAAACACGCAGGAAGGAACGTGAAGAGCAGGCGGCGAGGGAAGAAACTGAGGAGATAAAGGCTCATTATGGAGATTTACCATTGATGCAGTCTAGAGAGCGCCCACGGGAGAATCTGTTAAAGTTTGACAATATCACGGTGGATTTGGTGGGTCAGGAGGTGATGTTTAGGGCCCGCGTGCATCATGTCCGACGTATGTCATCGAAGTTGGTTTTCATCGTCTTTAGACAACAGATCATCACTTTTCAAGGAGTGCTAGCAGAAAAAGCTGGGCAAGTATCTACTTTTATGATCCAATGGGCTGAGCATATCCGTGTCGGCTCGATTGTCAAGGTGAAAGGGAAGCTTAGCAAGTCGCTGGTGCCTGTTGTGGGATGCACAATTCATGACGTGGAGCTTGATATAGAGAAGCTTCATGTCATCGTTCGGAGGGAGGAACCGGTTCCATTCAGTGTTTACGAAGCAGAGCTCACAACTAGAGAGGAACATACCCACGATGGGCGGCGCAATCACATTCTGGACAAGACCCGTCTTTCCAACCGTATCCTAGACCTGCGCACTGACGCATCCCAATCCATATTTAGAATTCAGAGTGCAGTCAGCAATCTGTTTCACAGTGCATTGGATTCCCAAGGCTTCATTGAGATTCATACGCCGAAACTTCAGGGTTCCGCTACAGAGTCTGGTGCTAGCGTTTTCGAGGTCAGCTACTTTTCAAGAGCTGCCTTTCTGGCCCAGAGTCCACAACTCGCTAAGCAAATGGCTATTGCGAGCGACTTCGAACGTGTGTACGAGATTGGCGCCGTGTTTCGTGCGGAGAATTCAAATACCCATCGCCATTTGACAGAATATACTGGTTTGGATATTGAAATGGCGATCGACGAACACTACCACGAAGCGCTTGAAGTTATCGACAGCGTCCTCAAAGAAATTTTCAAAGGAATTTATGTTCGATACCGACGAGAGGTGGATATCATCAAGCATCAGTTCCCCCACGAAGACCTGGTTTGGTTAGATAAGACTCCAGTTATCCTGTTCTCTGACGGCATTAAACTTCTTAATGACAGTGGATGGCGCCGGGATGGTGAAGAACTTCCGACCAACGAAGATTTGGGGACTCGAGATGAGATGAGATTGGGCGAATTGATTAAGGAGAAATACCACACCGATTATTACATCTTGGATAAATACCCTCGGGTTGCAAGACCATTCTACGCTATGGAAGATCCTGAGAACCCTGAATTCACCAACTCTTTCGATATTTTCGTCAGGGGTCAAGAAATTGTTTCCGGCGGCCAGCGCATTCACGATGAAAAGATCCTCGAGAAACGAATGAGAGACGCTGGCATCGATCCATTAACAATGGAGGACTACCTGGAGGGCTTCCGTTGGGGTGCTCCACCTCACGCCGGTGCTGGCATCGGTCTGGAAAGATTAGTCATGTTGATCTTGAAGTTGGGAAATATTCGACTGGCCTCTATGTTCCACAGAGACCCTAAGAGCTTCCCTGCCATCCCAGTACCATCCATCCTCCCATACCCAGACTCATCCACTATCGATCCTCCGTGGGAGAGGGAAGAAAATAAACACCAGAACAACACCGATTTGCACCGCGAATTCCAGCCACTGGAGGAACTCATCGCCAACTACGGTGACGCAACGTCAACGTCATGGCCAGATCCAAAGTATAAAATCTGGCGCGACCACAGCACCGGCGCCGCCGTCGCGTACGTTCCCAGCAGTCACGGCTTCGCAATCATTCCAGGCAACCCGCTCTCGGACCCCAGTCAATACCACAAAGTAGCCGTCCGCTTCCTCCGTTGGCTCAAAAGCGAAACACACATGAAACCCATTTGGATCCTCTGCTCACTTCCCCTCGAAGAGGTCTTGGGCGATAAGCTGGGTTGGCGCACACTTTCCTGCATTGGAGAGGCACGCATCGATCCATCCCGCAACCAAGCCGCAGCAGACGTGGATATTTCCAAGAAAATACGCCACGCGGAGCGCGAGGGCGTCAAACTCCTTACTATCCCGACCGATAAACAACTGCCAGAGGACCTGACTTCGAAAATCGACGCACGCATCGCAGACTGGCGCGCCCACCGCAAGGGGCCGCAGATTTATCTCTCGGAAATCAAGCCATGGCGAGACACGCGAAATTACCAGTACTACTATGCCGTCGACAAGGAAGGGACTATCTGTGCCTTTGTCGCATTGGCCCGGCTGGCGGGGAATAGCATGCAGATCAAATACAGCCTGGACTTCCCTGGGTCGCCGTCGGGGGCGATCGAGTCCCTTATCACCCACGCGATTCAGTCTGTGGCCAAGTCGGGAATTAAGTCACTCACTTTCGGTGCCGGGGCGTCGAACCACCTAACACAGGGACACAACATGTCTGGGGCAAAGGCTAAGTTGCTGCAGAGCACGTATGATACGCTTGTCAAGCAGTTTGGACTGAATCGCAAGACGGAGTTTAGAGTTAAGTTGGGTGCGTATGAGGAGCCGCTTTACATTGCTTACCCGCGCAATGGGATGGGTTCGAGGGGTATCAGGGCTATTCTGAACTTTTTGGAAGATTGATTCCTGTGCTTAAGGATTCTTAATTGATGATTACGATGATTGATATGATGTCTACCTGAATGGGATGTTGTTTGCGGCTGATAACTAATGACCACACGTGATCGATTATGAACCTACCCCCTTTCTGTGTATGTCCATACCAACTCCAACCTGCTCAAATTTAGTTTCCCCTTAGAAAAAATGTAACGAGATGCTTTGCACTTGGATATGTGCGGTTATATGTATGAATGTATATCATGATGTTCTAGATGTGGATTTTCTACTTTCTCATAGCTAAGCTTGATGGAATTTACTCCGCTTCTTGCTTCGTTCCCTCTGTAGACTAGAACAATGATATCAACCATCGGCGACGTGGTGTTGTTAATAGCTAGAAGGCATTGAGTTTAAGCATGGGGTTCTGACGGCAGTTCTGGCCAAATATATTGATACGTTTTGATAAAAACAGGCGAAATTGTGAGGTAAGTTAAAATATAAACGACAGAGGAGAACCCGCTCGGAAACTTGCGCCAACGGATAGGGAAAAGTCCATAGCTCTAGTTCCACTGAAAAACTTTCAACCCTGCACTCGGAATGTCCTGCCGCTTGCGGTTTTTCTTTCCCGTTCCTCATTCTCCGGCCGGGCGCGATTGAGAACTGTGGTTTGCAATTGTTAGATTCTTTTAACTGGATCTAAGCTTGATACGAAAACGGCATGTACGTACCTTGCAGGAAGTCTGCTGTTCGTCTCCGCATTCTTGTGTGGATATAGGCCTGTTGCAGCGGTTAGAGGATAAGATAACATAAATAAATCAAGATTATATGAGTACCTTTGAAGCCTTGATGTGGTAGTGGAAATAATCGCGGAAGGTTTGGATGTGGGAAATATTCTCGCCGCGTCGTTGAGCAGTTAGGTGTCGAGGGAAGAGGACTAGGTGAGATTGAGATGTTAGTTTCCAGAATAGTAGAGAGAAAGGAAAAGGGGGTTAACAAGGGATTGACAGTACCAAAAGTAATGTAACCGAAGTCGTGGTCTCCGGAAGCCTTGACACCGGGAATTCCCTGGATTTCGAGAGGGGGGTCATGGCGGAAAAGCACTTGAGGTGCATTCTGGATTGCTCGTCTTCTCGCATCAACGAACTCCTGTAGGATATGTCAGAAAAATGCCATGATTCCCTAGAAGTTGTGATATCAGCAGATGCAGAACATACTTGCAAGAATACTTTGCCAAATATCTTATCAGTCTCATCTCGGAAAATTGTGCTGAAGATCACGGTCACTCTATCATGGCTGGCCTTGATGTATATTGCCTCCTGCTCCCGATAATGGATCGCCATAACCTCTCCACCTTCCTTTACACCCTGGGGCGCTGATTCAGAGGTAAATCTCGCAGCCTCCTCTTGCAGTCTCGCGAATTCGTCAAACGCTTTCTCAAATGGGGCAGCCATCACATTTCGTTTCATGAGCGCGATACGGTTCACCAAGTCTTCCTTAGCCTCCGGTTCAGCTGGGAGATTTTCTAGGTCCACTAGAATTGAAAAATCATATCCGGGCTCCGGGGAGACGATGAACGGGCCATATTCCCTCTCCAGGACACTTTGTGCCCCGTACTGCACCAGTTCTCGGAAGCATTTGACGGAGATGGAAATGAGGATTTTGGATTTCGTTTCGGGTGTAGAGAGGTGGAAAGTTACGCCGTCGAAGTCGGAAACAACTTGATCAATGGATACTGGGGGGGTTCTATTGGCAGAAACGCATTAGCAGTTGACGAGTATGTGGATGGCTCCGTATACGGAGGCGATGGGCGACTACGTATCAGAATTAGTGGGGGTGGAGGGGGAGGGATGCGACATACCCAGAGAACCGCTCGGTTAGGAGGGATTGGATCAGGACATTTTGATAATCTAGAAGGAGCATGATTGCAGATTGGGGATCATGACAACTTTATCGAAAAAAGTATTCTGTGAAACGAATGGCAGAGATATACCTCCCCAGGCAGTTGTTTGATGTGCTGTTGAATCAGCATCGCCGCAAGCAAACTGACGAAAGGTTTGGAACGGAGGACACCTGCCACATTGGTCTGTACTGCCGGCCGTAGCCTACGTTCCGCCCAAGAAAAATAAAGCTGTTTGAACGCAACCCTAACAGCTGCCAAATTTCTGCTTGCGCTGCCAGGCGGAAAAATGGTCAAGTCATACTTGTAAGTGAAGCTTCTAATGCACCAATTCCCTTACTTAATTTCCAGGAACTAATTTATTTTAATATATATTAGGAAATTCGAGCCATCAAAGACTTTTGGACTCATTGCTTCTGCGTCGTCAAATGCTGTCTGGACGCCCGACGAATATGTCTCCGCCGAAACTCGCCAGACAAGCGCAGGACGAGCAGTCGTTGGCGCAGGAGAGGAAGTCATCTGCTGGGATGTAAAAAAGGGTGAACTGCTTAGCAAATGGCGGGATATCGATTGCAGCGCACAAGTTACGGTTATTTCACAAAGCAAGACGGATGAGGATATTTTTGCGGTTGGGTAAGATTTTCTCTCCTCCCACCCCTTCCAACCTAAAAATATAATTTTTAATGGGATCTAATGATACATTGGTAAAAATAGGTATGAGGATGGCACAATCAGAATATGGGACTCGAGACTGGCGACGGTTCTGATTTCTTTCAATGGCCATAAAACTGCCGTTACTCAACTAGCATTTGACGGTTCAGGAGTGCGACTGGCCAGTGGTTCCAAGGACACAGATATTATAGTATGGGATCTAATCGCTGAGGTTGGGATTGTAAAACTACGCGGACACACAGATCAAATAACATCCATCAATTTTTTGACCGGATCGAGCCCCGTTGACGGTGACGGTGATTCCGTAATACCAGGCAGCAATAACCAGGACCGCTTCCTCTTGAGTACGGGGAAAGATTCTTTGATCAAAATCTGGGATCTTCTGTCTCAACACTGTATCGAAACGCATGTCGCTCAGAGCAATGGAGAATGTTGGTCTCTTGGACTCTCACCTGACCAGAGTGGATGTATTACTGGGGGTAACGATGGTGAACTTCGAGTGTGGTCCATCGATGCAAATGCCATGGACGCAGTAGCGAAAGAAACTGGGGCAACGGATGGGCGCAAAGTACTTGTGGACAGAGGCAATTTGTATCGACAGGGCAAGGACAGAACGATTGGCATCCACTTCCACCCGCGGTTAGATTACATTGCGGTCCATGGAGCTGAGAAATCGATAGAGATCTGGCGTATACGTACAGAGGCAGAGGTGCAGAAGAGTCTAGTAAGGAAGCGAAAACGGAGAAGGGAAAAGGCTGGAGAGCAAGGCGGTGAGAACGAGTTGGAGAATGGTGCGGATGTTGATAAATCAGACCCTATTTCCTCAGCTCCAATATCTGAGGTGTTCGTGTCCCATACTATTGTCAGAACGGGCGGGAAGATTCGCTCCGTGGACTGGATGGGCGGGAAGGGTCTTAAGTTACTTGCTGCAACAACGAACAACCAATTGGAGGTGTACCGTGTGACTGCTGCTGAAAAACGGAAAACGAAAGACAGCGATGAGACCGAGTACAGTCGCACATTTTCCGTGGATATGCCTGGCCACCGTACGGATATTCGATCGCTTGCATTGAGCTCTGACGATAGGATGCTGTCATCTGCTTCAAATGGAACTTTGAAAATTTGGAACGTCCGGACGCAAACCTGCCTGCGAACTCTGGAATGCGGCTACTCCTTGTGTTCTGCCTTTCTTCCCGGAGACAAAATAGTGGTGGTGGGGAATAAAAACGGGGACCTTGAAATGTTCGACATCGCCTCTTCTACGTTATTGGATACGATACAGGCACACGAGGGCCCGATATGGGCGCTACATGTTCACCCAGATGGAAAATCTATTGTTACTGGAAGTGCAGATAAGACCGCTAAATTCTGGGATTTCAAGGTTGTGCAAGAGGAGATCCTTGGCACGAAACGGACGACTCCTCGACTAAAGCTGGTTCACACGAGGACACTTAAAGTAAACGACGATATCCTCAGTATTCGGTTCTCTCCCGACGCGCGACTCATTGCAGTTGCCCTTTTGGATAATACCGTCAAAGTTTTTTTCGTCGATACCTTGAAGCTTTTCCTGATATTGTACGGCCATAAACTTCCCGTCCTTAACATGGATATTTCATACGACAGCAAGTTAATCGTCACCTGTTCTGCGGATAAGAATGTGCGACTCTGGGGCTTAGATTTCGGCGATTGCCACAAGGCGTTCTTCGCACATCAAGACAGCATCATGGCTGTAGCCTTCATACCCAACAATAATGAAGGCAACGGCCATCACTTCTTCAGCGCTAGCAAGGATCATGTAATAAAGTATTGGGACGGCGATAAATTTGAGCAGATCCAAAAGCTTGAAGGGCATCATGGCGAAATATGGTCTCTAGCCGTTAGCCGCTCTGGAGAATTCGTCGTTAGTGCAAGCCATGATAAAAGTATACGTATATGGGAGCAAACCGATGAGCAAATATTCCTGGAAGAAGAACGGGAGAAAGAACTGGAAGAGCTCTATGACAGCACACTGGCAACGTCACTTGATAGAGACGACGAGGATGCAGAAGGGGAGCATAAAGCCGAGGCAGTTGCAGCTGGCAAGCAGACTGTTACGACTCTCATTGCGGGTGAGAAAATCGTGGAGGCCCTCGATCTAGGCATGGAGGACATCGAATCATTGCGGGAATGGAATGAGCTGAAACTAACAAATCCCAAAGCCGCACCACCGCCTCGCAACCCGGTATATTTAGCTCTTGGTAACATCTCTGCTGAACGCCATGTGCTCAGAGTCATACAAAAGATTCCAGCAGCCGCACTCCAAGATGCCCTCCTCGTCCTCCCCTTTTCAAAACTCCCCTCTCTGTTCACATTCATAAATATCTGGGCAAAGAACGGGTGGGAGATCCCACTTACCTGTCGCGTCCTGTTTTTCATGCTCAAGACGCATCATCGCCAGATTGTCGCGAGCAAAATGATGAGGCCCATGCTTGATGGTATTCGGGGGAATCTTCGTCGTGTCCTTACCAAGCAGAAAGATGAGATGGGATTTAACATCGCTGCGCTCAAGTTTATAGGCAACCAGGTCCGGCAGCGGGGGCGGTCGGACTACGTTGATGAGGAGTTGTGGGAGAAGGAAGAAGAGCGGGAGAAAGGAGGGAGTAAAAAACGGTATTTCGTCAACGTTTCCTAAGAGAGTGCATTTCATTTTGAGTGCGTTCTGTGTTACATATACATTTAAATCTTTTCAGTTGTTGTTTCTAGCGTCTACATTGAAGGGGAGTTGGATAGGAACTGTCTCTCTTGGTCTAAAAAAACATAATGGGTCAAATAGGGCAAGTTTTAATGGGATAGATAATTGAAGCAATCAACTTTCATCCATGAAAGCATCTTCTTCCTTTATTTTTAATCAGCTATTATTTAATAAAAACTTTTTAAGTGTCTCCAAAATTATATAGCTTTGACACATTAGAGGGAATATCAGCTGTTGCAGTTACGCCCGAAATCAACCAGACCGGCTTGATATCGAGTATGGTTGGAATATCCACCCTGGCCTCGGTAGGATTAGTCCAGCCATTGAGCACCAGCATGCACATAAACGCAGGATTCAGTATAGTAGCTCACTTCACCAATGCGTCCATTCCATATCTGCTGGCAGGGAGATCTGCTGTAACCTAGATACCAAACCACCAACACAGGTTAGCCATCATACTCGACCAAACCCAAAATATAAACGATGGTGAAATTGCAAGATAAAACAAGATGCCACAACATCACCGCATAATCCCAACTCCTGCTCCTCATTAGAGAGAAAGCAAGAGCAAATAAGAGCACACGGTACATTGCGACGGCTTGTGTTTTCTCTTTTTTTAACTTTTCTCAGTAGAACCATTATAAGCACCGACGACATTTTAATTTAAATAACCGCCCCTCAATGAAACTTCAAACACCATCCCATCGCAGAAAATCGGGAAATTTCACACCCTTCCTCACCTCCCAATCAACATATGACGATGTAAATCGAAAAGTGAAGAGGAGGGGAAAAATTCCCAAATCTTCTGCTGGGGACGTGTTGCATTTGCGGTCCCATGGAGTTTGATAGTGACGGCATGTCATACCTCTTCCGGCTCTTCCTAAAATTGTATTCGGTTCTTGGATGTATCTCATCATGTCAAGTTTGTGGGTAGGCAGGTAAATAAAGCAATGGGGATAGGGAATTGGCCGACCTTTCGCACGGAGGAGAAAGGGTATCGCCGGGGAAATTGGATGGTTTCTCACTTATTATTATTGCTAATCAGGATTAGAGCCTTTTGGATAACAAAGCCAGTGCTGGACTTCATAGGGTAAATCCGTTATTGTTTCAATTGTTTGTGCGCTTGTTGAAGAGATTCAGATGTTGATGTTGAGAAAACTCGAACAAAATTTCCATCTGGTTTAAACCCTTAGGATCACGTGCAGCAATACCGTCCAGGTGAATTTCTCTTTTTTTGAGTATTAATTTCTTCATTTTCCTGGAACAAAACGATAGAAAAAGAGTCTCTAATATCATAAATTTTTAATCACAAAACATATTTGATATTTTCTGATTCTCATACATGAAATAAAATAAATATATAAATAATAATTATTATTATTATTAACTAAAGTAGTTCACTGAATGTGTAGATATTTTTTTTAACTTCAAAAGTCTAAGGTATGCGCAGGCATTGGCTTATTATGATGCACAACCGTGGTTACTCACTTAACAGTAGCGGAGCGGACAGGAGGCCCTGTTTTCCACCCCGTATGGTCGTATGTTCTAGAATTAACTCTTCTTGCCATGATGAACCCCCGGTGCCTCGAGGATATCAAAGCTATTAAAGAAATAGGGGATTTGGCATTAACCAATTATGACTGTGCGATTTTGTGAGAGGGAAGTTTGGGTATGCGATGAAAAGACCTTCTAATGTAATGTTCAACTGATAATTCAGAATTCCCTTACGCAACGCTATATTCCAAGTAAAGCAAAACTCCTTAAACGCTAGATCCCGCACATCCATAATTCGTAAAATATCATCATCGCGTAACGGCCTGGGGCAAGTGGAAGCCCAAACATCATGACGACTGCTTCATCGTCCCACATGCAGAACAAGTCCACCACTTAGTTTCCATAAAGGTACCACAAGAGGTGCATACCCAGCCGAGAGGCTTCTCGGAGGTTTTCTTTTCCAGTGACATAAGAGCATGTATGGCTTTGTCCCGCGGTTTTCGGGATGCTCCAGGAGTGGAATGTCGTAGATCAGCACGGGCCCGTTGGACTGGACGATCGGGAGCAGGGAACTCAAACACCTGAGGTCGTTCTGAGGAGCATGCATCACAACAGAGAAAATTTGAAGGATTCACAAGGGTGCATATCGGGCACGCCCAGCTCTCTGGGTCGACGCTGTGGTCATTTGTCAGATCATTCCAGGGACTATCGGGTGGCTTTCGCTGTGGCGTTGAATTAAATATAGGTTTCGTATCTTGGGGTACGGGTGGAGGCGACAGTGACGAGCGGGGGCCAGCAGGGTGGGAGGGACTCGGTGCAATATATGAGTTTCCATATTGCTCCCTTTCTTCCTCCTGAATCAGATCAATGTACGCCTGTATGATAGCTTGTTCATTCGCGTCTTCTTCCTCCGCCTTTGTTTTAAATCCATTTTTCGATGCCTCATCTGCCAATTTCTTCCCTTCACTCGTTCCACTAGCACAACCTTTGGTTACTGTTATTCGCCTCTGGACCGCATCTGCAATAACCTTCCGCATGTCTGTGCCACGTAGAATGGGAGTCCCGCCAACTTTCCTCCCGGACCCAGCTGTAAGGGTATTCTGTTTATCAGCTGCAACACGGGCAAGGCGGCGAGCCTCATGGAGGGGTATCCTTGCCCCACCGAGCCGTTTGCCTTCAGATAAGAAACCTTCACCGGTATAACCCTTCAGAGCAAGTTGCATATGCTCATCGCGAAGTTGGTTCCATAGGGCATGAAACTCCTGGTTGTGAGGGCCATGGACAATATGGCATAACCTGGATATTTTGTTAAACCCTGCAAGTATCCATACGCGATCACTGGCAACTTACTCATGAAGCATAGTATCAAGAACCTGGTCTAGAGGGAGAAACTGGTTGTCGTCAAACGGATACCTTAGCCGCAGGCATATCTTCTCACCCCTATTTATGTTTATTCCAAGAAGGCTGCGCTCTGGATAAAATTCGGCAAGCGTGCCAACTCTCCAGCCACGCTGGCGCATTATTGGCTTGACAAGAGATGCGATTTTCCGGAGAGTTGTTAGGGCTTCCGCCTCTCGTGGTTTGTGTTTGAGATGCTCAAACTCGGAGACCAAAGGGTCAAACTCCCTCATTTTGAAGCAGGTTCACAAGAACAGAACAGAGAAAGGGATATTATAAATAATTTATCAGATCCAAAAAAAAAAAAAAGAAAGAAAGAAAGAAAGAAAGAAAGAGAAAGAGAGAGAGAGAGAGAGAGAAAGAAAACGAAAAAGAAAGGTTTCAAAATATGGGAATCGAACTCGCAGACTGAGATGGAAACTAAAGACGAAGAAAAAGATATATATATATATATATATATGCCTTCCAGAGAATTGCGGAGCGGAAGAGGCTGCTAGATATCTACATTGTCAGCAACCAAAGGCTATTCGCCTTAGTGAGTGGCTGAGGCTTAGTTAACTAATCAACGGATGACAAATCCACCCAATCTTGCCGTCCCGTCCGCAGAGAGAAAAACGATGGATTGCACCGTTGTTCTACTGTCTCCTGCATATCCAATAATCTGGGGCATCTCAAAAGAATCGGAGCTCGTCTTCCTTTCAGCCTTAGATGTATATATATATCACGTGTTGGAGATTCCCCCAAATCCAGATCATCGTCCCCCGAAGGCGGTGGGATGGGGCATAACGGTGCAAATACTGACTGATATCATCACTCGTAGATTTTAAGATTTCCTGGAAGCTGAAGCTGAAGCCGAACGGTTGTTGAAAGCATCTTGTACATCTCCTAGTCCAACTCCATAGCGGTTATCATCTCTGAAGCATAATGACGAGTGACGACGAGTTCTTCTTTGACTACGTAAGTTTCGACGCCACTGTCTTACTTCCGGTGATAATCGCTAACACAAATATCTTGCCAATCCCAGCTTGCTACCATCCCAAACCATGTGAAAAAGTACTCGTCCCAGGTTGCGGACTCTGTAAATGAACACGTGGATCAGCTCGCAGTAACTGTCCGAGATACGCTATGTCGACAATCTTGGTTGCCGTCAGCAGTTAAGCCTGTTGGGAGAGCCGCATCAGAACTTTCCTCACCACCTCCACCACCATCGTCCTTCGGCCGTGTACAAGCATGGGTGTCGAGAAACCGTGCCTGGACGGCAGCCATCGTCGCATTCGTCGGAACTGGAGCCCTCCTGATCTATGGAAGCAAAAAGCTTAGCATCAAGAAAAGAAAAGCCCGAAGTGCCAGTAATGGTGCTCGCAAGGAGATCGTTGGTGTGTACAGCTTAAGAATGTGAAATATTTTTTTCAGTTGGACAGCACGCACTGACATATTCAAATAGTTATCGCCGGGTCCCCGAATGAGCCCATGACCAAGTCTGTTGCGAATGATCTCGAGCGCCGTGGCTTTATCATCTTTGTTACCGTCACTTCGTTAGAAGAGGAAAATCTCGTGAAAGCAGAGGGTCGCGAAGATATCCGGTCTTTATGGATTGATCTAGCAACTGTACAGAGGAAACCTCATGTTGTATAATGTCGTTGGATAACAGGCTAACCAAACATAGACGCCCTTGACTCCGTCGGAGATCCATCCGTCTCTGCATATTATTCAGTCCTTAATCACTCAACCGCAGTCTCCTGTTGCTGGAATACCACCACATATTTGCCAGCTAAGCGGTTTGATCATCATACCATCTTCAAAGTTCCCCACGGGACCTGTTTCAACCATTCCAGCATCGAACTGGGTTGACAATATAAATACTCGTCTTTTATACCCCATACTGACAACACAGCTCCTCCTACCACTCCTTACTTTGAAAAGTAATAGCAGCTCAATCGTCTTGCTTTCACCTTCAATACAGTCCTCACTATCTGCGCCATTTGCAAGCCTGGAAGTCACAGTAACTCGGGGATTATCTGGCTTTGCAACCACCCTGCGACAAGAGCTCCGACTTCTGCAGCGTGCTAACAACACCTCTAACAATGGCGTTGAAGTGATCGAGTTAAAACTTGGAAATATCGATTTGGGCCGCCAGTTCCGGAATGGCCACAATCAAAATACAGGAACAGAGGTCCTTACCTGGCAGCCGCGGCAAAGGGCGGCGTACGGTTCATCGTACTTGTCCAGCATCGATAGCAAAGCTGGAAAATTAGCCGGTGCAGTTTATGGTTCTCCGGCCAGAGAGCTACATTTTGCGATCTTTGACGCCCTTGCCCCCGTCCCCAAGTCGTGGTTTGGCAGGCGCAGACGGAAGAAGGCCACTGTTTACGTTGGCAAAGGGTCCAGAACTTACTCCATTGTCGGGAATATTGTTCCTGGTGGGTTGGTAGGGTGGATGCTTGGGCTGCGTTCGGCGAGCAACGGCTCACCAGTTGACTCGAATTGGGATTCTCATAGCAGTGGGGCGAACAGCGAAACGGGCTGGGAGAAACTTGGATAAAAGGAGGATATTTTGCTCCCATTTTGCTCCCATCCAAATCTATTATAATTATCAACTATATACCTCATATTTATATATGCAGATATTCTCTTCCATGATTCAGTTATTTTAAGGATTACGTGTATATGTACATGTTTTATAGACGGCGTTTCTTCGAGCCATTGCGTGGGTTGGCCGGTAAAAACTTTCATTTTTGATGCCGGTGGTTTCTCAAATTGCTTTATAACAATTCCTTTAATGACCTCCTCTTTTGAATGAAAAGTGCAAGATCTATTCTAAACGTTTTCATATTCATCAATAAAGGTCTTGAGGAAATACAGCGCCTGAGATTATTCAACACTTCATACTAGTTATGAAGTACAAATCATAATATATAATATTAAAAAAATATATATAGTAAATAAAGTTTAATTTTCATTCATTTTCTTCTTATAATTTTTTATTTAAACTTATTTAAACTTATTAAATTATTAAATATATTTATATAATTAAAAAATTAAATTTTTAATTTAAAAATTTTTTTAACTATTAATATTTATAAAAAAATTAAAATATATATATTATAACTATTATTAAAATATATAATAACTATCTATTTTTTAAAATTTATTTAATTAAATAAAAATATAAAAATATATTTAAATATTTAAACTTATAAAAAAGTTAATTTTAATAGAAATAATAATTTTAAAATAATAAATAATATTTATAGATAAAGAAAATTAGTTTTTTAAATTAAAGATATATAAAATATAATAAATTTATTATTTTTTAATTAAGTTAAATCTATTATAATAAAAATATAAGTTTAAAAATTTATTAAATATTATAGAAAATTAAAGATTAAAATTTTATATAAATATATATATAAATAATTTTAATAAATAAAAAATATAATAAAAATATTTATAACTTTTATAAAATTAATTTTTATATAAAAGTTATATCAATAGTTAAATTAATAATTCAATTTATTTAAATATTATATATAATAATTATATTAAAATTAAAAATTATTATATTTTATGATAAAAAATATTATTAATTTATTAAATAATTAAAATTAATAAAAATTTAAAATATAAATAAATTAAATATAATAGGTTTTTAAAAATATATTAAAGTTTATATAATTAATAGATATAAAGTATTATATAAATAAATATAATAATTATAATAAATTTAAATTTAATTAATATTATATAAAAATTTTTATTATATATTTTTATATTTTAGCTTATTTATTTATTTACTATAATCACTAGATATGAATTACTTTAAACTTTTTTTAAAACAAGTATATAATTAAAAAAATAACAATTATACAATATTAAAAATCAATTATATTAATATAAAAAAATTTTTAAATCTCTATTCTATAGAAAAATAAATATTTTAAAAATTTATTATTAATAATAAATTTAAAAATATAAATTTAATGCTCTATGATCTAAATATAATTTTTTATATTTATATACTTTATACTTTTATCTTTCTGAGAAGTTTTCATAAATTGAAGCTATTTTATATTCTTTAATATTGCAAGATAGTTAAAATGTCAAAGTAGAAAAATTTAGCAATATACAAAGCTGCTATTCAATTTCACAAATTAAGTCTTTAATCAGTTGATCAAGAGATGTCAGCTGACTATGCACAGTGCTGCTATCTTAGCAAAAGAAAAACAAAAGCTGAGAGCTGTATTTGAGAAAGAAAATTGTAAGAGAAAACAAACTCATATATTTGTAGCTCAGAATAAAGCTCTAATAGATGAGAAAAAATAATTAGAGCTCAAGCAGTTGATCAAACTATATAAGAAAGAGTAGAGAAGTTGAATTAATCATCTAGAAAATAAGCTTCATGCAGCAAGTGTAATATAATTAATCATATTGCTAAAGTTTATTAGAAGATCTAAAAAATAGATCTATATATTTAATATGAGAAATTCAAGTTGGATGATTGCTTAATTTCGCAATTTGCCAAGTTTAATTAAAGAGAAGTCATGAGAAAATGAATTCACATGAGAAGGTGATTCATTACAGTAATTTGTTACAAATCATAAGATCTTGTCAAAATACTCTCATGACATCATTAATTTTTTATACTTTATGAGTGATTTCTCTGCAGTATTAGTACTTTTCTATATTTATGACATCATAGTAGAGATGTTTTCTCTATTCTTATATAAGATATTGCAGAGATTTAATCTGCAAAAAAGTATGAAAATTATATTGCTAATGATGTTTAAAAAAATATTTCTACTTTTTCTAATCAAATAAAGCAGCATCTTATCATATTTTATATAAAAAAAACTTGATAAAAAGCCTATATAACTAATTATCTGATTTATCATTTAGAGAATCAGTAATTTATTCTCAATATATTTAAATTAGTGAAATATGTGTACAATTCTCTATACAATAGTTTGTACTTTCAATTTTTAGTTATTTTTTCTTTTTGTAAATATATACTCATTTGCTTTCTTAACTAGTCAAACTTACTTTTTTAATTTTTTATAATCAACTTTATGTAATAGTTTAATACTATTGACTTTTGTTTCAATACTGTCTCATTACATACTTTAAATTTCAAATTAAAATTATATATACTGATAACTATTAGTAGTTTAACTCAAAAGTAAAAGATTTTATTGAAAAATAAATATGTAACTCTATTAAAGTTTAATTTTTAAAAGTATTATTCTGTTAATTTTAATAATTATAAAATCCAAAAATGAGTTGAAAGATACTTTTACATAGTTGAAGAATAGAGAAAGAGTTAACTACTTTGCTAATGTAATAGAATAAAGTTCCCTCTCACTGATTGTTCTTTAAAGATTGCAGTTACACTGAACTAAACCTTAAGATAATTTGTTAGCCAGACAATAGTAATTTATAAAGGAACAACATTGGGATTATGAGAACTAATTTGTTGGGACTCGGCATATTAGCTGGCCCGTTGCCACGGGAGTCCGCCACGCACGTGATTCCACATAGAGATCAGCTGCCCCTCCCAATTCAGGAGAAATAACCACTTGAGCCCTCCGTACTCCGTACTCCGTAGCCGAAATCTAAACTCTATGTGGGTGTGGGTGGAGACACGTGATTAGGGCAGCCCGCAGTACCCACCTACCAAACCAACCAACCACGCTGCAACAGCGCTCACTCGGCTCTCCCCTCCACCGCGCCTTTGCTGGCTCGGTTCAAATCCTTCGAGTCCGCAAGAAAAATTAATTACAACAATCAGACACCGATTTCCCCGAACGGGGATGGGCAGAGCAATAACTGTAAAATTCAAAGCTGAAAACCACACCACTATCTGTTCATTCTTGTATTCCTCTTACACGCACTAACGTGTGTCACAAGATCAGACTTGCCTTCATCAGCGAAATCAACTGACACAGGCTTTGCTACGGGCTTCATGGATCCCCCGAGCAGGCACGTCCTTCTCATCGTATAATATAGTGTACTGGCCGCCAACCCAAAGATCAACGAAGAATCTCATCTCTGGCTTCACTGTTCTGGTCATTGGTGCAAAATGATGGACATGTCATTTGATAGGGATTCTCGGCCCCCCCGCCCCGCCCGTGGGTATATCAACCTTTCCTACAGCCGTAGTTGGGGCCTGTAGTTTGTCTGCCATTTCCAAGATGTCAGATGACATCAACTCCCTGGGGGCTTAATCTCGATGATCTCTCTTTGTGAGGTCTTTGTGTGGTGTGGCAATGAGCTCCCGAACCAGAGTCTAGGACCAGGGTATCTCCACCAGTCTGGTCGCTAGAACAGGCCTTCTCCGCTGTGCAGAATTACTGCTCGACAAAGCTATGGACCAGGGGCTGAGCCGGTCTCCTCCTTGTCCTTATATTTATCATCGCCCTTCAAGGCAGGACATTTTACACAGATTTTGAACCAACATTTAGAATTGGATGTGGCCTGTCTTCTGGCAGTGGTAGCATGTTTTGATTGCATTGCCGCCTCTTCTTTCGGGGTTGAAAAGTCTTCTTGAGCTTTCTCATCCTTCTCAATTTGATCCATATGGTTTCCTACAAAGGAGGCTCCCTCCTTGCTAAAGAAGTCCTTAAAATACATAAAATTCTCCGCTTGATATTCTAGATGAATATACTCAGTCCTGATGGCAATTAAACAGTTGATAAAATGCCTGAGTCAGATTCCTTTGGTTTCACTGTCATTTCAATCTTCTTTCTCAAATAGCCAAGTTCTCTGGACTGCAGACATCTCAGTGAAGCCATTCTGTATAACAGATCATAGAGCATAAGCAAAGAGTATGCCCGATTGGTAATTCCCTTCGTTCACCAAACATTTGTTGGCCAATGCCCCTCCTGGATGTGAAGATCACACCGAACGGACGGACGGAACGAACGCGCTATCCGTCATCAACATTCCCTCACTAATCTCGCAACGATTGGATCAAACACTTTCATTTACCAGATGTATGATCGGACTATCATTCTTCCGCCCTGATCCACATACTATAAATTCAACTCTTGAATTCACTCTCACGAATTCTCCCTTCTTTTCCTCCTCCAACAAATTCGTCCTTTGTGTATGGGGGAGTGCTAGTACGTGTTCTGTAGCACGCCCATTACAGTATGAATTCGTTCAATGATCGTCCTTGAATGGGGCCTGAGAGCCCAAGAGAAGAGAGATGAAAGGAAGTCGGACGCGAGCATCTGTGAGAATTGATATATAAAAATGAATTACGAACCTCCCTTTGAGCATATGCCAGTGGGTGCTTCCACTGATAGCAGTGCTGATCTTTGAAGACTGGTGCAGCGCCAGCTGCATGAATTGAATCATTCAGCATTCAGCACGTCACGCGATGAGCTGGTGAAGGAATGATTCCCCGTCCTTAACTAGTATAAGAGCAATCTCTCTCTATACCTCGCCCGGAAAATCAAAAGCAGTTGTCCAAACTCAGTGTTGATGGTCCTGTGATTGGTTCCCTGTCAAACCAAGTGTGATATATCCCATAGTCGACTCGATGAGGACGCTCTTGTGAAGTTCCAACTATGGATGGATTCCCACTCGAGGTGCTACACCTGAAAATGTGTTTCGTCAGCTTGACGCGCTCTTCCTAGATCCTACGCATAAAGCCAAACACCATCTTGGCGAACTACCTTCCGGAGTTTAATCGTAAGCGTTTTGGAAGCTGGAGGCCAGAACTGGGGCGACGCTGTCAAGATCAATAGGCTGAGCAAGAGCCTGAGTTTCGAATTGCTCAATCGAAGCGTAGGATGTCGGTCATCAATTGAACAGTGATCTCTCACAGTTCCATGCAGCTCAGGGTCGCTGAAATGTTTCATTCACTCCATCACTCTGTCACCACAGCCTGCCCCGAGCCGGAGCCCGAGCCAATGGACTGGAATCCCCCATGTGAGTGCAGGCCGCCCGAGAGTTCCGGACGTCCCCGGGAGGGATATGTTCGACCGAATAGCGTGAGGTGTCTGCATATGATGTTGCCACCCGGGCATTTTCGCTGCACTGGAGTGCTACCCGACAGCCAGCTCCTGCAAGCGAGTCACCGAACAATTCTCTGAAATGGATTTAGGGAGGGGTGGTGGTTTGGGGGGTTGGGGTGGAATGATGTAACAGACTAATGCCTGAAATTAGTAACTCCTTTCATATGAACATTCACTCACTAATCTAGCATGATCGGATCAAACACAGATCAAACTTGGATCAAACATTCATTTATAAGCTGAATGATCACACCATCCTTCTGCTGCCCTTCAGTCTACAATTCCCTTGCAAATTCACTTTCTTGAATTCTCCCCTCCCTTCCTTTCCGTAACGAATTCGTCCTTTATATATGGGATGTGCTAGACTGTATTAAGTGGCACACATATAGCAGAATTTTAAGATATTATAAAAGGAGATTTAACCTACAGGTGAATTTCTGATTATATATAGTTGTAAAGTTAAACATTTCTTTTTCATTACAATTATTACATGTTTATATCAACATTATATTGATAGTTTTATTAGAAGACTTTTGTTTTTATTTAATACAGTATTAGTTTTAAATTACTACAAAAGCATTATTTTTTTATATTAAATAATTTATAAAGTTAATTAAAAATAATAAAATAAATTATATTAATTTTTTAATTTATATAATTTTTTTACTTATTAAATTATTAATTATTTATATTATTTTTATTAAACTTATAATTAAAATAAATTTAAAATAAATATTTAATTATATTTATATAATATAATAATAATAGTTATAATATTTAATAATAATAATTAAATTTAATAAATAATTAATAAAAAATATAAATTTCAAATATATATTAATAAATTAAAAAATAAATAAAATAATTATTTAAACTTATTAATATATATAAATAATAAGAAATTAAAATTATAAAATATTGATATAAAAATTAATTTTTAAGTTAAAAAATATAATTTAAAGTATTTAAATAAAAATATAAAATATTTATAAAAATAATTAAATTAAAAAAATAATTAAATTAAAATTAATATAAATTAATAAATTAAATAGTTAAAATTAAATAGTTAATAATAATTATTAATTAAAAAAGATTTAAAAAATATATAAAATATATAAAATATATAAAAAATTAATATAATTAAAATTAAAATTAAAAATAAAATATAATTGTTTATATTTTATTTAAAAATCAATAAAAATAAAAATATTAATAAATATTATTAAAATAAATATTATTAAAATAAAAATATAAAAGTTAAAATTTAAAAATATTATAGATTAAATCAAAGTAATTATTAAAAGTTTAATTATCAAAATAAATAAAATAAATAATATTTAATATTTAAATAAAAATTTAAATATAAAATTTTATTAATTTTAATTATTTTGAAATAAAATTATATATGATAAATTAAATATAATAATAATAATAATAATAATTAAATTGTATTAAAAAGTTAAAACCCTTTTAAATGTTTATTTTATAGCTCAAATTTCTGAATCTTAAATATTCAAAACAGGTTTTTAATCTATTGGAATAAATTTATTTAAATCTAATCAGATTATTTAGAAGTTAACTAGGTGAATATTTAATGGCGAATATCACGTTCGTTCCTTCGATGGGATTCTCCATCCGGGAAAGTAAAGGCTGGCTACGGTACGGAGTATATACAGGCTAACTAGATCACGCGCCGCTGGCGGAGCGTCATCAACCGGTTCAAGACCAGCCAATAATATTTCAAAAAGCTTTTAAGAGTCTTGGATCACATACATCGACTGCGGGTATGCTTGAACATACAAAGAATACTTATACTTTAATCCCAGGATAACTTGATTTGACGTTGTTGAGTGTAGATACTTCAGCTAAAAATATAGTTAGTTGAGCTTCGGCAATTTCGACGATCCCTTTGGTGGTGGTGGTGGTGGTGGTGGTGGCGGTGGTTGATACGCTGAGCGAGGAGACTCTCCTTTGCACCCTAACCAAACCAGGCAACATTATTTCCTATCATAGTTTAGCACATGAAAAGATTTGCAGCTTGTGGCGTCGCCCCGTCCATTGAGGCTTTTGCCACACCAGTGTAAACCGCACTCAGAATAATCAAAGGAACCAGGAACCAAAGACAAATAATCCATCTATCCACGAAGTAGACATTCCTTCACTTCGCCTCATCAAGACGGGTTTCAGCCGCTCCCATCTCGGGACCATCCACAGTATTCCCCTCATGCACGGCAGCCCAAGCCTCAGTGTCCGCTTTCGACCATTTTGTCCGGTTCTTGCTCAAGAACCGCATCCTCAGATAACTTAGCACCCATACGAAACCAAAGAGGAGAACCAGGATGCCTGCGACTCCGAAGACATATCCTGTCACACGGCCGCTGCCTCTGCCAGAGGAATCTGGGTTGAGGAATGGATATACGAAAAAGCCCTGTGTCGCACGGGTGAGGTATGCGACCCCTAAGTAGAGGACGAGGAGGAGGATTAGGAAGACGAGATGGAGCAGGGGTGGTGGAGGCGCAGTTGAGCAGATGATTTCGAAGAGGGAGAAGCAGGGCGTTAGGATGTGCTGGGTCACCTGTGATGGGGGCATATTTTGTTAAGATTTATGCGAGGTTTACGTGCCGAATTGGAGTTGGAGAGAAAAGAAAAAAGAGGAAAATTAAGGGGGAAAAGAAGGGGTACGAACGTTTGCCCACGCCTGGAATGTTAGAGGGAACCAACGACCCTCGTACAGAAAAGACCAAAATACCACCATGACGAGGAACGGGTAAACGACGACGGTGGTATAAAACAAGCTATGCAATGCGCGCAGCCATCGTGGCCATTTGTCGAAGAGAACCGACCGCCCCTTCCATCCATACAGGTATGCATGAACAGCTGCGACTAAGAAGTACACCGCGACACCCACAAAGGACATATTTGTGAAGTAGCTGAAGGACCGCACATTGAGACGGTTGAGGCCATGGGTGCCTTGCCAGCCGTAGACGACGAGGATGGTTACAAAACAATAGACGTAGATTATAGCGCGGCAAACAGCCAGGGTAATCGGGGTGAATACCCAGGACGTCTCGAAGTGGTGGAATTTGTCATGGGCCGGATCTACGCCCATAAGAGAGCGCATGGAACGCATGCTGGACGGGGGGTTCTATCTATTATTCTATGGGTGAATTGCTCGCGGGGTGTGGACTGATAGATGGTAGAGAAGGGAGATTTGCCGAACTAGAGCACCCTCCGGCTTTTATAGACATGCCTTATATAGGTAGACATGAGGTAACTGGATTCATGGTAAGGTCGAGAAAGTCTATTAAACAACGGGTTTATATGAGCGCTGTGATGTTCACAAGAGCGTCGGTGTATACAACCTTAAGGAGTGAATCCATGGATATCTAGTAGCTTCCTTGCGTGGTAGTGGGGGTGGTTCTATACCCGCGCAAAGCAGCTCCCCCCAAATTCTCCGGAGAACAGAATGCGGGGAAATGTTTCATTTCTAATAAGGTTGAAAGGACGGAATACCGGAGAGCTATTTTCAAAGATAGCACCAGGAAGCCGGAAAAAAGTGAACACGACAGACACACCGTTAATGTGGTTTACCCTGAACCAGAAACCTTATAGTGCTCAGTACCGACGAATCGGGAAATGTTGATAACTATACTTGCCCCTTATACTGTTAACCATTCCAACATACAAACATTTGATGCTTCAATCAATCAGGTGCTTTGCCAGAGCCGAGACAGAAAAGAAGCTTTGATTTATCCACGATGACTCTATTTCATCAGTCGATCATCGATCATCATGCCCAGGCACCGCTCTCGCTGCCCAAGAAACACTTCATAACCAGCACTCCTTCGCCACTTCGGCGAACTCGCTGAATGTCATCGGAGCTTTCCCAGTCACCCTTTCTACAACATCATTCACCTCTTCCAGCTCCCTATTCCTAATGGGGATCTCGAGGCCCGCCAGCATCTTCGCATAATTCTCTGATACACCAGTGGCGCTCATCAGCCAGGCTACATAGTCGGCTTCGGATAAGCTGACATGAGTGATCTTCCTGCCGAGAACAGAGGACAGAATATCTGCTATGTCGCCATACGACAGCAGCTCCGGTCCCAAAATGAGATGATCTGTGTTATGCGGGCGTTCATCTGTCAAGGCATGGAAAGCCACACGGGCAATGTCGTCTGTGGATACGAACGGGATCTTTCCCTCGCCCGTTGATGAATATATTTTGTCTTCCCCTTTAATGAACGGGAGGAATTGGGCTTCGGATACATTTTCTACGTCGAATGCAGGTCAGTTAAGTCAAAAAACTTCCCAATCACCGTAGATTATCATGGGATGGGAGGCAAAGGAGAACGAACATACGCATAAACCAAGTCGGCCGCAACACTGTCCACGCAATCTCCTCCCCCAGCCCAGCCAAATATTCATGCACTTTCCCCATCAGCGGCCCACCCTTCTCGAACGTGCTGGCACTCAGCAGCACAAACCTCTTCACCCCCTTCTCCCTCGCAAAGTCAATAAATCTTTTGGCCAACGGGAATAAATCTACGACGGGCGGGGAGACAATGTACACCGCGGAAATAGGGCCCAGCGTAAAAGCCGATGATGTCGAGGCCATTTCAAACGGCTGTCCCCAGGTAGATTCATCGAGCCAGTCAAATATTGCCTGTTTGTGGGGGGAGGGTGGGGAAGTGGTTCGTGATGCGACGATGAAGGGGATCTCCGGGGCTCTGGTGGAGAGAATCGAGGCGAGCCGGCTGGAGGTTTTTCCGCGTCCGCCGAGGATGAGGATGGTCATTTCCCCCCCACCCCTCAATTGTATGGTAACTATGTATGAACTGTGAAACCTTGGGTGATAAGGAGATTATGAGATGAGAGAGGGGTTAAATGGGGGGAAGTAATCGAGCACTTTGGAGGTCTATATATACCCCAGCTTGTCGTCATAGTTAATGCCAACCCCATCCCGCCTTCATTTCCTCTTTAGGGCGCTCAGAGGATGTGTGCATTGTGGAAAAGAAAGGTTATCCAATAGTTATATAACTAGTTGGAGAGTTAGTGGCTTAATAACTTTTAGAGCGGTTGCTTTTAAGCATACTAGGGGTTGATATTATAGCTAGAGAGGCCCTATTAGACCACTCGTCCAGGACAAGTTATTGATAAATTCATCATGCTGAACGCCCTTTTTCTCTCTAATAATTCTCCAAAGGCTACTACTAGTAGTTTAGAAAGGTAACAGAAAGATGATCAAGTTTCCCTCCCCGAGTATTGGTAATCTCATAAGTCCGCAGCCTAAATCCGAAGATGAAAACACACTCAACGGTTAAGATGGTGGATTTCAAAATCCATGGAGTTAAGGCGGTGGAACAATCCCTCCGAAACCCCTGGCAAACAACGACGTCATCGGACATATTTTGACTGTAGCTGTTTGAAGAGGGCAAAAGAAGGCCAAATTCGGGACAGAGCAAGGAGAATTGAGCTGGGAAACATGAGAACCATTGCAATAGCCCCATTCGATATACCCCCCAAGTCGAAGGACGGGAGCCTATAACCTATAAGTATTCAACGGATACCCACAAGAGGGGATGCGATTTCCCTCGTCAAGAGCACTGAGCTGCATCAGCCTTCGCATCAGAGGCTCTGACTGAGGCCATTTCGACATCCATCCGTACAAATGGCGTTCTATCAAACTATGGACTATCTCCTTGACAGGACCAATATCCACGATGTCGTCACAAAGCTGGTGAGTGAAGTAACCCACGAGCAAACAAGAAAGAGAAGGGAAAGGAAAGATCATATCAGACACACCAACCGCATATTAGAAGTAAAAAAGAGACAAGAAAATTAACACACAACAACAACAACATCAACGAGAACAGAATTTCTATCTAGATACCTATCAATGGGACAAGCTTATTGACGAAGTATTCATCCCCAACGACCTCATCATCGACTATACGCCATCACTTGCCAACGAGGCCGTCGTGACGACAGCGACGCGGACGGTGGGACAGTGGAAAGGGCTTATGGACGGGATGGACACGGCACAGCATATTCCGAGGTGCGTATGATACAACAAAATACTAGATGAGAGAATAATGGAGTGGTTGGTGGCGGTTTCGAGCAAAAGGAGACTTTTTTTTTTTTTCTCGGTTCGGCCAACTAAGTTCGTCAACTATGTAACATGATTACTATGGGCTGACTGCCAACTGCCAACTGCCAACTGCCAACTGCCCACCCAGCGCTCTGCTCATCAGCCTGCCCCAACCGGGGCCCGAGACGGACGTGCCTCAAACGGCTTCTGTCACCTGTAACGTGACTGTGACTCTGGTTAGGAAAGACGCGGAGGGAGGCCCGCAGCTTTCGAACGGGGTAAGGGCCCTTGTCGCTTCTAACTATCTATCTATATCCCCCCCTCCTTGTCCTTATTCGCGCCATGACGGGTTTTCCCCTTTATTTATATTTTTTAAATTTTCCCCGCCCTGTTTGGTGATTGGAAAGGTGGGACCCTGCGCGACATTGACGCTGACATGAAGCCTCCCGGTCCGCTGTGTTATCAGGGCCGCTATGATATTGAGTTAAAACGGGTGTCGGAAGGGGGAAGCTCTGGAAATCCATGGCGGATCACGAGGCTGAAGGCGAAGATCGCGTGGTTTTCGGGGAATAAGAAATTGCTGGGGCTTGAAGATTAGGTAAACAAGGGGGTGCGCGGATTGGACGGCTGACTATTAATAGTGAAGGGAGAAAAATAGAGCAGTGTGAACGAGAGGATATATTCTCTCTCCTCCCTGTTCCCCATCCCCAACTCCCTTAAATACCCTGTGGGAGAGCGGCTTTGGCTTTGGGTAGGTTACATGCATTTGTTCGTGAAGTAGTTAACGCGTGGGCATGGCCCAACTCTTTTTTAAATACAAAGACAGATGCCTGCGAGAGGCCTTCTCTCACAGGCAAACAATTTATTGTATTAATTTTATGTTTTACCCCGCCCTCGTCTGTTGTTGCTGTTGTTGTTGTTGCTGATGCTGATGCTGATGTTGCTGTTGTTGTTATGTTGTTGTTATTGTTATGTTGTTGTTATGTTGTTATGTTGTTGTTCTTGTAATTTGTACGTATATCCAAATAACACGTATCGACATTTGAGCGCGCCTAGAAGTAAACACAATGGCACCAAAGGATGAGAGGCTGCAGACGGTAACTCAACTTTGTACTGCACTGGGAATATACGCATGCATCTAGAACTGGGTTCTCAGGAACAGACCAATCGTTCTCTCAAGGTTGTACAGTTGAGTGCAGCTTGTACAGTAGATGATTTCCAAGACTTGGAAGATCCATCACCCTGCCGTTCTTCTCAGACAACCAATTATATCTCAACAGCAAGTAATCTGTAATTCATCTCATTTAACTATTAACCTGGTTTGCGTCAACGATCCTGCCTAGCGGGCCCTTGCAAGATCATAAAACCAACCTGCTGAATATGCCTAGAGAGATCAAGGATTCGACATCATCTGGGCTCAGCTGCGATGCACACTGCGGAATATCAATATCTTCATGAAATCTCTAACACTGTCCACCGTAGCCATATATATATAGAGTTATATATAGTTGTATATATACACTGGCATCCCGAATAATTCCCGTGTCCAGCAGCTGGGGTTCAATATGGCGGACCGCTCTTGGCCGCTCTTGGACCGCAGTAACTAGAGCACGGCTGCCCTTGGTGGGGCGGTTTGGTGGCGCAGACGAAAGAGATGCTAACCCTTGCTCGGCCGGCGTGAGATTTCAGAAACATGGATCTCTTCTTCTTGCCGTTTGGCACAAGGGCTCTGCCGTCCCCCCCAGGGCAGCCTGGTGATTAACAGTGGGAAGAAGTTGTTTCCACCACTCCAAGTCTTGATCCGATCAGTTAAACCAAGGTATGTCTGATTTTAATCCTTGGATTTTCTAGAACCATGGAACGGAACAAGGAACAGGAACGCTTCTTCCTCTTAAGTTTTTTTTTTTTTTTTATATTATTTTATATTTCGGGCAAGAAGAAAAACATCCCGCCTCTTTTGTCGCGTTAAACTTATCACAGCACCCGCCCGCCCAGTCCTCATCCCCGGAGCGGAATCGAGGAAGCAGATCTTTAATTGGACAGCAAGTGGTCAACCTGTTCCTTCGTCTGGAGCCGGGGGCACCGTGGTATATAAATAGGACACAACCCACTCGCTAAGCTGTAAATCAGGAACAAAAACAAATGGAAGGCCAGGAAATGCTGCCAACAAATAACTAAGCCAGCCAGCCAAAAACTGCCGTAGAGTAGGCAATGGACAGCTAGTCAACCCATATATGACATCAATCATAAAAATCAACAGCCCTCTAGGTCTTTGTTAGGTTTGGGCTTGTTTAATTACATCCCTATCAAGACTCGGCGTTGGTGGTTGCCCCCTTCAGCGTTCGCCTTCTTTCAAAATCTCACATCTCCCGCTTTTTCCTTCTCCCCGGCTTCATCCAACTTCCTCCCAACGTCACATTTTTACGTCTCCGACTGTCACTTCGACCTCTCCCTCAGAACACTTCTCGTTGTATTGCCAATCTCCGGCTTGTTAACTTGAGATTTACCTACTTTTGTCCATCCTTTCTTAAATCTTTCGGGTCTCTCTCTCCCTCTCACTCACACACACACACACATTCGATCCCTTCAAAAACGTCAACCAACAGCTTAACCAACAGCCCAACTTACACAGTATTTCGCCACGCGCATCGGAGAGACCATAGCTTCTCTGTACATATACGCTCAGCTTGGCCACCACTTTCGTTTTCTGGATGACGGTGTCATCCTAAATGACCCCAATGTGGTTGAACCGAAGGCCCGTCTGCATGATCTAAAGAAAGAAGCCGAATTTGCCCTTCCCCCTTATACAGCAATAACCCAGCGCTTATACTCCCACTATCACAAAAAGTTCCAGTCCTTCAATCTCTCGCCCAGAAGGAGGGGGGGGGGGAAACACCTTCCATCTCTACGGTTACCCGGATTCAATTCTTCGTGACATACGTTCGTTAACCCACCATGACCAGCAATGGCGTAGCCGACTCCAACCCCACATCATCCCCGCGCATTTCCTATTTCGACGGAGAAATCCCTCCTATCCTGTCACCCCTCGATGCATTTGCCTTACAAGGACGGCTGTTAGCCAAACAGCTCGATGATTCTAATAAAGGAGACAAGCGAATGAGTCGCTTACCGCCCGCAAGCGTTGCCAGTTCCCTATCCCAGCCAAGACCTGGCTATTTCAGGATACCCTCCGCGAGTGAGTCGACTAACACGGTGCCTGTCAGTCCTGGGGCATGGAGGCATGGTCCCAATGGAGAAGTGGAAGAGGCTTCCTTCAGGCCAAAATCTCAGCATCCCCTGCTTGGGAGGATATCAGTGCAGGATCTTGCTTCCTATCCAGATAGTAGTGATGGCAACCACAAACCCTCAGAAGACGCTCCAGTTGTTCCAGCAATGCCGCCCAGTGTGTTTGGCTTGCCTCGAGCAGAATCACCGGATGAGGCATCGTTGTTTCATTTAGATGCAGAAGATGAATCACGGAATCAAAGAAAACCCTCAAATACCGCTGTTGGTGTTTCAGCAGCAACACATGGGGAGCCAAACGGCAGCCCCCAATTGAAACGGAATGCCTCGAACACCCTCGCACCTCCCGCTTCCTCCTCTTTGCGGCATTCAGGAAGCCCCGGGATGCCTCAACACGAGAGTTCCGATGACGATTATTTCACGAGTTCAACCATGGGATCAACCTTCTCGAAGCCCAGGAAACTCTCCTCAAGCAGTGCCATGTCAACGCCTCATTCGCCAATGTCTCACTTTACTCGACCTGGTCCCCGATCACCTTCCCCAGGTTCAGAAAATTCCACCACGCCCAATCCACTGCCACGCCCATCCTTAAACTTCTCACGCCCCTTAAGCAGATCCAGTACGAGTGTTTCTATATCTTCCCCTTCCCTCCATTCGCCTGAACAGCGCGAAGAATCTCAACCGCGGGCCATGAACAGGGACAACCGGCCTTCTCCAATTACGTTGCCGAAATCGCCTGATTCAACTGAAGACGAATCTCTAGGCTCTTCTAATCCAACGACTTACATCTACGCCAAATATTCGCTCCCCCGGGGAAGATCTGTTTCACGGAATAGCCTCGGGCTCAGTGGGCTTCAAACTCCACATATCGAGTGGAATGAGCCGCTTTTCGAAAGTTCTTCACCTCCAAGTGCTTCTGGGAAGGAAACATTCGAGCAAGCACCCTTATCGCCTCTTGCGACCTACACACATCCTCCTTCCTCACCATCGCCGCTAAAACAGGAAACGCCCTTGAAACCAGCGACACCACCAGAACCCGAACTCCCATCTAAACCCTTGCGTGTGCCTAAAACTAGGTCCCCACCGCGTAAGAGCCCGGGCAAACTTGTCAAGCGAACTGACTGGACTCCTCCGAAGCGACATAAATCCTTTGACCACGTAGCTCGAGAGACTGTGCCGCCGGCCCCGTCCAACTCACATAGCAAGCTTCCTACCAGCACACCCAAATCCGACGAGCAGGGTGAAGCCAAATCCACATCCACAGAGTCCAACACCACACTCCGACCTGATACAAGCCGTGATGGAGTTCCTCCGCCAACAACCGCTCTCTCCGCTGAAGACCATGTCACAAAGGGTATCCAGTGCCACGAAAACGGCTCCCTGAACGAATCCACCTACCACCTCCGCATCGCAGCGATGCAAAACCACCCAACAGGAATGCTCTTATATGCCCTTGCCTGCCGCCACGGCTGGGGCATGCGTCCCAACCCGCGAGAAGGCGTACAGTGGCTCCGCAAAGCCGTCGACTGCGCTGCGCTGGAACGCTCGAACTCGGGGGCTGAGCCTTGCGGGAGAAATATTGAGGAGAAGACTCGCCGGGCGCAGTTCGCGCTTAGCATTTATGAGCTTGGTGTTAGCCATTTGAATGGGTGGGGGATTGAGCAGGATAAGCCGCTTGCGTTGCGGTGTTTTGAGATTGCGGGACGGTGGGGTGATGTGGATGCGCTTGCTGAGGCGGGGTTTTGTTATGTTGAGGGGGTGGGGTGTAAGAAGGATTTGAAGAAGGCGGCGAAGTATTATCGGATGGCGGAGAGCAAGGGGATGAGCATGGTCGGGAATAGTTGGTATGTTTTCTATTTTGGATATATGTAGCTCTGTATATTCAGGTTTTTGTTTACAGACGTCACTCACTAATTCTCTCCCCGCTGTCAAACAGGATATACAAACCCAAGTACATGTCGGATGATGACAGCCTGCCACCTGCACCAAGCCTCTACTCTGCGACGGGCCAGGAGAAAAAGCCCCACAACAAATCGCGCAGCCGGAGCATTTTCGGGCATAAGACATCCAGTGCTGCACGTAGCGTGCATAATGACTCTTGAATTTGAAGATACCCCCTAATATCTGATCAGATATACATGTAATATTTCCACCGCTTGCTATGTTTCTTTTTTGTCAATTTTTTTTGTCGTTATTGTTTTCCACGAACTCCCTCCCTTTAATGTTTTATATTCCCCTTAAAAGTATTTGCTTTGCGGTTGGTCACTTTATACATTCTCATATTTGCATGTTTCTCTGTCTATTTCACTCTTTATTCTTCTTGGTTTACTCGTTTTTACAAAAGGATTTCATCGTCGCATATATTTCATCTACCATTATATTCCCCTTTCCATGCTGCATATATCTATCTTTTTTGTATATCCGCAGCAACTTTTGCTTTCTATCTTCTTCTCATGTGCCAGCTGCGCGGGCTTGTTTTATCTTAATGTTTTTTCTTTCCCTCCCTTTTCTATCCTTCTCATCTTCTTCCCCCGCCCAATCTCTTCACATAATTACCTTTGGCTTTTTTGAACAAACTTGCTATACTCCCCATGAGGAGTGAAGGAGCTGGATGTTGGGAAACTACATTACATATCCATTTTATTCCCCCATATATATATATATATATATATATATATATATATATTATATATTATGTTTTCCATATACTTCCCTTTTGCATACCCGCAGGACACCGGAAGGAACAGGCTCATAGGACAAGGGCATCATCGAAACTTTTATAAATATTATAATGATTCATAATTTTCACTACTAGATCTTCAATTTTGGCCGAGACTATTTAATTATAACAAGCGTGCATTAACGGAGTACAACATCCATGGATTGCTAGTCAGATAACGTTTTCTGACAAGGTTGATAGACCCCGTTCTTATCTGGAACAGCCAACCAAAACCTGCCTGGTATGTATCTGTTCCGTTCCATGTTCTTCCTCCCAGGGGAAAAAAGGATGAGTTTTCCAGGGGACTCGACCCGGGCCGCCGGATGCGGAGCTAAAGGAATCTCTCGCGGTAATTTTTTTTTTTGGTTGACTAACCTTAACGATAATTTGCGGGCTAGTAACTGGCTTCCCCGAGCCAGAACCTGAAAATAATAATAATAATAATAATTCACTGGTTGAATTTTGGCGCAGCTTTCCATTTTCCTGATACCTGCAGGGCATGCATGTCGTTGTTGGGTCGGATTTAAGGGTCGGCTTGCCGATGGGGGGAGGGAAAGTTGTGGATGAGGAATATTGTAGAAAGAATACATACCAAAGTTGACTGTCAGTAACCGCAAAAGAACGATCCATGTCGGAAACTTATTGATAACAAATAAGAAAGGTCCAGCTGCATTAACTAACTTAGCATCTATCACTTAAAACAGTGCCTCTGCAGGGAGCTCGACGGACTGTTGGACTGCTGAAACCCCATTACTTCGAATCTGGCGGGAGAACTCTCCCAGCAATTCTACCTGGGGGATTTACTTTTATGATCGGGCAAATTTTTTAATGATCCTGCACGAATATACAAGACATAAGCTGCATTTACTACACAGTACGGAGGAGTCTTGGTTCGGACAAAGCACAGGTTCTCAAAACTTTGAAAACTTGCCGACAGTCCGAACTCGGGATCATCTTTTTGCAAGTCGGCATGTGATTTTGTCAAATTGGGGCTGCTGAGTATTCCAAGCTGTGTCCAGCGTTTTCTGAACCCGTTAAACCCTGTGAACAACAAGGTTTAAAAAAAAAAAAAAAAAAAAATTCTTTCAAGGCCTTTTTAAACTTCTTTAACTTCAATCTGGTAGGTTGAGGAAGCGGGGACAACTTGACGGGAAAAATTCATGGTTTGGGTAAAGTTTTCCCCGCTGGAAGGGAAATGGTTTCAGCGCGTCGGCTTGGGGTTTCTCAGCGCCCCTTACACCCACACCCCAAAAGGCAGTCAGGGCAGCTCCAAATTCCAAGCAGGCTTAGCTAGTCAACTCCAGTAATGGGTTTGACGGGCTTTGACCCGCATAGGAGAACGCGGTGGAGACTTGGAATGTTTTGTTTTTGTTGTTGTTGTTGTTATTTTTTTTTTTTTTTTTGGTTATTTGATGTGAAGTCTCCACCTCATGTTCTTGGATTAGGTGGAGAGTGACGACCTCCTTGTTCTTTTTGTCTTTTTCTTTTTATAATTTATAATTTATTTTTTATGGTTTTTTGATGAGGACAAGCATGAGGACTGAATGATGTATCCTTTCTCAGCACCCATTCCTAGGTTTAAAGCTGAGCTGTCCATATCCTTATGTCATATGCCCGTTCAATGATATGAAGTACATGTTGGGAACGATTCTCTGGCTGAATATCTCAACAGGTTTAGCTATTACATGCCAGTGAGTAGGTTAACTAACTAGTTAGTTAGTTGGAGCTTCTTATTAATAATAGCCTTCCTCTCTCCGCGAGTCCGATCAAAACTGTGAGGCAAGGGCACAGAGACACACGAGCAGTCGCACAAGCTATGCTGGCGAACCCGTTTCCCGTCCATTGGCAAGGGCAAAAGGGTTTCACAGGCATGGTAACTAATCGCTTGTTAAACGTTGCATGTTGCGCGCTGCGAAATTGCGGGAGAAAAGATCTCGTCCGTTTTCGATCCGAGGGATAGCTATGCACAGGGAATCAACCACACATACATTTACCGTGCATGCGTACGTTCGGTGAAAACAAGCCTGGGAGGTTTAGAGATTTGACGCGATCATGCGCACGGTTTCGGACGATGTGAAGGAGGAAGGATTGTCGTCATGTACGGTTGCAAAAGTTTTTTGGAGTTTTTGCCAAATGGGGGGAAAATAGGATCCTTGGGATGCTACACCTAGTTTTGTATGGTTCGCCACTTCACAAGAACTTGCGGAAAGTCGTTGAGAAGTTGAACATCTTTAAATTCTGCATTTCTCTGCTCTGCTCTGTTCTTTCGTTGTTCTTGCCGCTATTCTTGCTGCCGTGCTTTCTCGACATTTTATCCGAGTTTTTTTGGCTTTCCATTTCTACATATCCGATTCTCGATATCATCGAGCACAATCACTGTTGGATGGATTCGATCTGGAGCTAGCGAGACAGGGACGAGATTATATATAGAACTGGCCCCTGGGTGAGGTAACGTAATGTAAGGATGCTCCCGCCGATCATCATCTACGTTTGGTCTTGAGTTCGGGAAGGCTGAAACTGAGGCTGCCAAACTCTCCTTTTCGGAAGATGCATGTGGTGTTGATTATATGGGGATCGGATCATGGAATGTAGTAGTGCCCAGATATGGATGCAAGAAGAACCTTGGGAAAGTGGGAGTAAACAGATCTCTGATCACGATAGTCCGGGGGTTGTTTTCGAGGGGTAACACTCTAAAAATCTCAGTGTTTCACAGCTTTCCAAGAGTCGTGGTACTCAGGAAATTGTATGGACTAATTAATATATAGTTTATCTATTATTCTTTCTGTGAGATTGTGCACAAGGGCTGTCCGTCCCTATTCGAAAATCACCACCCAATCGCAGGTTCTGGAATGATCACTGGCAGATATTTCTTCTTCTTCTTCTTCTTTTTCTTCTTCTTTTTCTTTTCCTTTCCTTTCTTTTTCTTTGCTGTTCTGCATTCGTTCGATGCTACTTCATCGCCAGCTTTTGCCCTGGCGTTGTGCCACGAAAACGCCACCACGACTGCAACCCACCACAGCTGCAACGGTATGACATATGATTTGCAGGCCTCTACATAGATTGAAGCATAGATGAAGAGAGTTGCAAAAGAGTTTTTGCGCCGCACAAATAGAGAAGGGTTATTTTTGCTCCATCGTAGATCTTGGCCGTATTATTTCTGTACTTCATTTCGGGAAGGCCGAAGGGCTTATTTTGGCTTTGGCAATGGTGGCGCCCAACCACAGCCCCGGGGCCCTTTTGCAAGTTGAGAGCTTGAAATCGCCAACCACGAAATGGTTGGAATGTCCAATCCCTCCTCTTCCATCATTTGTAGCTGATGGGTGCATTTCCTTGATCCAGGAATTGAGTGCCATATGCGGACAGCTGCCCCGAGGAGGGGAGGATGCTGAGTCCCTAATGATTTTCTTGGCCTCGGATACCAGACCTCCAGAATACCTCTTCAGGAAAGGTGGGGACATTTTCTAAAGGTCGCGTGCCTTGCCACTGATATATGTTTTGAATAATTAATTAATTATCAATAGCGGATGGTGAGAATGCAATGCCGGAGTTCAGAGGCCTCCTGAGTTCATATGCTGCCAAATGGGGCTTCCGGGGATGTCACATCAGCGGCTGGCTTTGAAACTTCAGGAGGGACTCGATACTATCCAACGCGTTCATCATGTTCGACAAAAGGAGCTTGGATAAGTTCGATACTCCTACATGAAAGTTGGTTCGGCCGTTGGGGTGCAAGCAGCAAGCATCCAATGGAACCAACCTTGGAACCCGAAGGTTAGCCCCACACTCTGATTGCCACGGGGGAGTAGAAGCCAAAAACGATGAGATATCGCCTCTCATTCGCCAGGCTGGCTTGTGTCTAAATGAGTGACAACTAACTTTGCAGGCGCTTCCTCCCCCAAAACCTCCGCCTAAAGGACATAGAAGAGAGCCGAGTTCCAGGGTATAATAACAGGGGCGAACCAACGCCTATTTGGCTGCAACAACATCGCAAGCAATGGGCTCTTGGAAGGAATGAGATATTTTGCCACCTGGTAATAACTAATTGCCCAATAACTGATAACAATTCTTGTGGGAAGGGCAAACAAACCTCTTCACCCGCTCTCATCCCAACCTTGCGTACTCTCCTTCAACCCTCATCTTCAATATGGTCTTCAGACTCCTTGTACTTCTCATGGAATCCCCCCCGGGTACCCAGTAAAACTAAACTGCTAACTCTGCCTCTTGGATCCCCCAGCTCTCTGCTTCCTGGAACTGCTGCCACTAGCGTGTCTTGTCCTTGTCCCTCCCTGCAGTTTCGCTGCAATCTAACCCGCATCGCCGCGGTGTGTACTTGTCAATCAGAGCTAGAAGAGGAGTGGGAAAGAAAGAAAAATCCCCAACACAGCATGTGATGGTCTCTCTGTCCCCATAGCTCTGTCTAGAATATACCACTAAATTGCCACTTTTGGCTGTTGTGCGCCCCCTCAACAAGTACCGAGATCTGATTGATCGTTTAGCGCACTTTTCAGCGTCCTCTCTTGCGGTTTATTCTCGACCGTGGGACCTTTCTTTGATGCTGGCCCCTAAAGGGTTGGTTGGTTGTATCTGACTGTTGCGTGGTCCCATGTTATTTCTTTCCCTCCCCCCCCCCCCCCCCCCCCCCCCCCAATCCCAATATTTAGCTGCCCGCATACCCCGTCCTTCCCCTTCATATGAAATCTCTCCGTCTTTTCTGATCGTTTATCTCGTTTCCCTCCCTCTCTCCCGTGGTTGTAGTGTGGTTTATCAATTGTTTCATCGTGAGTTTTAATTCATTCCTTCCATCTTGTTTGCTATTTATTCTCCTTTTATATATAGTTCTTTATTTTCCTTTTTTTGGTGGCGCCCCATTTCCGCCCCCCTGGGGAACATCCTCATCGTTCTACACGCATTGCTGTCAACTCAATTAGTTACAGTCGCCTGTCCTCTGCTGCAGTGAAATAAGCATAAGCTGCGCGATCCTGTCGTGAACCCCTCCCCCCCCATTATTTATTTATTTATTTATTTTTCTATGCACCATGTAATGCACATGTGTCGAGCGTGACACCCGTCCTTGTACACTCCTTCTCCACAACCATGGAGCATTGCAAATTGAAAATGAAGAAACTGAACATACTAGTACCACATATTCAACAGAGGATAATCGCCAATTCGTTTCCCATAGCGGCATCCAGCCCCTCCCTCCATCCCCGAAGTAACTATCCCGAAAATGTCGGACAAGGTTGAGGCTGGCCCCGTCGAGCGAGAGTTCACCAAACCTAGTTTTGGCGCCAGACTGAAAGCTAATTTCAAAAAATGGTGGTGGCTCTACCTGGCTCTCTTCATCGTCGTCGTCCTTGTTATCCTGCTGCCGGTGTAAGTGGTATTCGATTATGTATTCATGTTAAAAATCCGTTTTGGATCAAAATGTTCAGGAGAGCGGAAGCTTCGGGAACCGCAAAACCACAAAACCACAAAACCACCGACTAACATTAGTGTCTACTTCTACAAACAAATAGCATCTTTGTCGGGTACCCGAGAATAGCCCAGAAAGATGTAAACAAGTCAACCCTCACCATTAACTCCATGGAAATCACCAATCCGGCCCCAGAGGCTTTCAATATCAAGGTTGACCAGACCATCGGCTCCAAGTCCAAATATCACCCCATCCTCGACGCCTTCAATGCCACTGTCAGCATTGCCAAGAGCAACAAGCCCTTCTTCGTCCTTGCTGTCCCCTCCGTCAAGGCTGTCGATGGCGCAAAGAGCATGATTGACCAGCGCGTCCAGCTGGCTGATGTCCAACAATTCGTCGATTATTCTATTGCAGTCATGAAGTCGGAGTTTCTTGACCTTGAAATTGATGGCCGGACTGGGTTGAAGGAGGGTGCTCTTCCGAAAACGACGGTGGATTATAACAAAGTTATTACCATGAAGGGTATGTTCTGGGACGTTCCCCCCTGTTCATTTCATTTCTTGACATGCCATATATATTCTGACACCACTTGCAGGGCTCAATGGGCTCAAGGGATTCAACGTAACCGACTTCAATCTCGTTCCCAAAGAAGGTGACGGCACCAACATGCTTGGTGAAGTCTTCATTCCCAACCCCAGCGTCCTAACCCTCACCTTGGTAATTTTTAACTCCCAATTTTTTTTTTTTTTTTTTTTTTTTTCTTTCCAAACCCGATGCCAAAATGGAGCAACAGGCAGAAAATATCAAGGAAAAACATCATACTAACAAACAAAAAACCAGGGCGACGTCACCCTCAACCTCTCCGTCGACGGCAAAGAAATCGGCACCTCCACGCTGCCCAACCTCGTCATTAAACCAGGCAACAACACTGTCAAAATGCGATCCGCCGTCGACGTCGCCAAGGTCTTCCCCTTCGTCAGCGGCAAGGATGCCAAGTACAAAAACGGCGTTATCCCCGTTAGCATTGTTGGCAAGTCCGCTATATATAATGGGAAGGAGTTGCCGTATTTCACCAAGGCTTTGGAGTCGAATGTGCTGCATATTCAGTTAAATTTAGGTCCATTGTTGGGATTGAAGGGCTAGGGTGAGGTTGAGATTAAGTTGAGGGAGATTTGTGGTGCGATATCTTAATACCCCCTTTTTCACACACACACACACACACACACACACACCCTCTCTCTGTTTTCCATTTTCAAGAGTGGAGGTTTTATGTATATTTCTTGTGGATTTGTATATTTGTTTTTCTCTTGTTTTTCTTCTTCTCCTTTAATATATATTCTCTCCTAAACCTGGAATGATACCTCATATACCCTCTGATACGGTTATGGTTTTTTATGCATGGTTGTCACTCGTGTTGGCTGTTTGCTGCGGTGTGATAGAGCGGTTTCACTTAATGTACTGCTAAAAAGAACGCTTGTCGTCTTTTTGTCAGTGGTGAGATTCTAAGTGTATATACGGGTATGAAGTTATAGACCTACGAGGTCTATATACCTTCTAATTGACGTCCACTTTTCTTCGTTATATATACACACCTGGATGCAGCATCTTTTCCTTCCCTATTGAGACATGAAGCAGAGAAATGAGGGGTCAAGACGTAAATAAGCAAAAAGGGGGTTAAGTGTAGGAAACCTCGGGAAGAAAGTTGTCAGCGATGAAACTGCTTTCATATCCTCTTCAATCCCTCTGCTTACTTAGTTTCCTGCTGTTATTGAATGTAGCCGAGTAACTTTAGCAACTGGTAGAAATCCTCATTACCACTGAGTTCCCTGCCTTCATTTTTCGTTGGTTGTTTGCAGTCTTCAATTCATTTTCTTCTAGACGGTTCACAGGTAAGATGATGGGAACACCAAAGGCCTCCCAGACACTCTCAGAATGGCTCTATGTGAAAGACGAAAATAATATATCCCCCCTCTCCCCCTTGCTATATATGAATCCTAATTGGATTGCCTAAAAACACTAAAACTCAAAACATGATCGGTCCCCCGTTTGCCATCCCCAGCACCACAACCTACGGCCCTTGTAACAACATGAGTAAAAAAAAATTAACTATACCGTGAAATTACGGGCAAGAGCCAGAATGAGAAAGACAGCAGCATATGGAGAGGCCGTGGAAGAGAGGGGAGAGAGTGAGAGAGTCAGGCGCCGTTATAACCACCCAGCGCCTCCTTAATGCCCTTCTCTAAAACTCATGTAATTCGGTATAACCAGCAGCTACCAAGCTCCTCTCCCCCGATGCATCCGCCCCAATATCCCAATAGAAAAGCCCTCCAAGCCCTTTCTGCTTCACATACCTCGCCTTAAACTTCACCGACTTCGTCGAGTCATACGAAACGAACCCAGCCTCACCACCCCCATCATCAGTCCAATCAATACAATACGCCGCCCCAAGAGCGTCATCGTGCATCTCAGGCCCACCATGTGGCAGATGACAGTAATCAATCACCATTTCCTCCAGTTCAGTTCCCCCCGGACCCTCATAGGGCTGGTTGATCCCGTTCGTCCCCGGGAACGCATGCCCGTATACGGGTATGCCCAGGAGGATCTTGTACGCCGGCACGCCTTGGCCCAGCACGTAGGAGACGCCGGAGTCACCGGAGATTATGCATGCGTCTGCGTTGTAGGGGTTTGTTTGCTGGGTGAATAGTTGGGCGTGGTGGCCGCTTTGGCGCATCCAGTGGCCGGCGAAGTCGAAGGCCATTAGGTTTATGAAGTCAACGTACTGGTGGATATAGGTAAGGTTTATGTTTTGTAGAGCCCATTGGGCGCCGGCCATGGCGGTGGTGAGGAGGTAGTCTGGCGAGGGAAATTGTTCGCGGAGGCGGGCGAGGAGGCAGAAGTAGTCTGCGGCTTCTTGAGGGGTTTCTGGGTGTTCCCAGTTCACTGCGGGACGAGAAAGGGGGGAGAATACTCGGAACCCCTTCAGTTAGTATAATGCGCATGCGGATAACGCAAAGGGAAACGCGGGGCGGGAAGTGTATCTGCGTACCGTCAAAGCCGTCGAGTCTAAACTTAACGGCTAGATCTGTGGTGGTTTCTATGAACTTTTCTACGCTCAATGCATTCCTTGCGACGCAGGCAAAATTCTGGCTGCCTTCGCCCCCGCCTCCAATTGAAAGGAGGACTTTCATTTCCGGGAATTGCCACTTGAGAGAGATGAGTGAGTTGAGACATCCGTAAGTACCATCCACTGGGATTTGTTCATCGGCGTATTCATCGCTGAGCTGGGGTGAAATGTCAGTTGTATACATGTATGAGGGATGGGGAAATGTCAGGGTGGGTCTAACATAGACGGTTCCATCCTCTTTCACCCTGTCAGCTCAACCAACTAGTAAGTCATCTTTCCTGGGTTTTTAAGTAGAAATTATGCAGCAGAGAAGGGGTAGTGGGGGAAATTGGGGTCTTCTTCTTCTCCTATCATACCAAGCGAAGGCGTAGAATACGTGGGAAACATAGCCTAGACTCAACGATGAGGGGGGTTTCCCGTCATATATCCGCCAGTTTGGGTAGTAAACCGCATTTCCGTAAATTGGGAGGTAAGTAGATAATTGAAAATAATTCGGATCAAGGAATTCGCCGGATTCTAGCTCGCCGGAACCTAGTTCGCCGGAATCTGGGTTCAGAGAAATGAAAGGTGGGGGGAACACGCTTGATGGATACATCAGGGCGTCTAACAGAGCAGCAAGGCACTTTGAAAACCACCGCTAATGGCTAGCCTTTCCGGGATAGCAAAGGCTCGAACAGCAAGACAGCAGAGAAGCCCTAGAGAATACGAAGAATTGTTCTTGAAATCTGCAGGCTACGCCCAAATGTTTGATATTGGAGATTTGCGGTGGGCGATCACGTGTGGTGGTAGTTGTAGCGCAGCTAGGAATGTGCCCGAACCTATGCATTTTTTTTATTATTCTGAGAAACAGAGGGGGAGAGGAACACAGAGAGAAGCCAAGGGAGAAAGGAAGAGTGAAAATTCGGTTTCAAGATTGGGGGCAATGAAATGAGGATAGAAGAGAAAAAGGGCTCAAGGAGCGAAACAGTTCACTCTCACGCCGCCGTGCAAAGCCTCGCAGTGATACAATGAAGACAGTAAACTTCACACAAGGCTGCTCAATGGACTCTACCCCGCAATATGAATTGCCTCTATTGGCTTCCAGGCTACTCGAGTCCGGAATTACTTATAGACAGTGGTTATCTGCTGTACCGGGATATTATTTTGGCATTAATTAGCACCTGAGGAATTCTTTTGCGTTTCTTGTAAACAAGTTCCCCCTATATTTTCTTTCATCGCTGGGTATACATGTCCTCACACCCGGGTGAACCGATTCATCCATGCAGATGCGAGGAATGCAGCTCCCCGCAGGAGAGCTCTCGAGATCTGGGGTCCACTCCCCGTATAATATTGCTCATTTTTAGACGACTGCGTGGCTATAAAAGAGCGGGATCTTGGTTTCGGGACTTCTTCCACTTAAATGGTCTTTGTTCAGCGCAAATAGTCATGCCCCGATTTCCTGCAGTAACATCCACTTAATATGCGGTGTGTACTGTAGGCTAGATGACATGCACTCTGGCGTTATTATGTCCGCCGCAGAGACGAGAACTAATGCTCCAGCTGCGAGTTGGGCTACAGGATTGAAATGACGAAGGCAAGAGTTATAATGACACAGAAGAATGCGGTGAACCATGGCAATGAACTTGGGGAGCCTGCTTATTACTTCTCGGTAAGTTATGGCTTTCACGTGCGTAGCAAGCTCATTCTCTTTTCATGAATTTGTCAGATAGGGAGGGTTCAAACGCTGGGGAGAGATGATCGTTTCAACAGCAAATTCCGGCGTGCATTCATGACCGGGGATTCCAACAGGAGTAGCTGGGGTGGATATATGACTATCCCTGAATATGGAGTCTGATCTTGGGTTTCGTTTCGAAGTCGTTCTCGGGAAAGTTGGGGTAGGAATTATCCTCACCGCATTAGTGGCGGTCTTCAGGACTCCGCATGATATACCGCATTCTCAAAAGATGAATGAGTGCATCTTGAAGAGTAGGTAGGTTCGATTATTGCTGGCCTATGAATAGCTTGCGGATATAGGTTGCAACATGTCAATAGCGGTCAACATTGAGACATATTAAAGTGTCCACGCCATCACGATGGTGGCCTTTACTCGGGCAGTTTCTTCAGACGATACATTCTTTCCCACCTTGGCTTTGTTCAATGAACTCCCAGGCGGCGGAGGACGCCATGTACCTATCTTTGATCAATATCGTCATAATCTTATTGCAACTGTGTTCACCGCAACCTCAAATCCGAATGACCCGGGGGGGGGGGCCCTGCACCAGCCCGCCATCGGAGAAGAAGCGCTCAGGCTGAGCTCGTTGACAAAGTTATGGTGTATTCCGGACGAATAATAATCAAGAGTTATCTAGAAGCCAAAATAGTGGTATCGTTCAAATAGATTGCATCTTTTCCGTTAGATTGATACTGAAATCAGGAGGGTTTCCAACCTCGATGACTTCATGCGGGTCAAGGATGCCATGGGGTACCATAGTTCGAGCAGCAAATGAGCTGAGCTGCTTCGAATCGCTAAATGCAGAGAGCTGGTATTCATTTTGAGTGTGTCAGTTGTAGCCCACTCGAGAATATATGCAGCAAAATGTTATTCTAAGATTTTGCGCAGGAGAATGAAAATCCTCAACTAATGATGAATGGTTAACCAATTAATGGTTGTTGTGAAGCCCAGCCAGAGGGAAGTATTCAGGTGGTTGTAGTGTGGCTGGGGTGCTCAAAGTGCTCTAAGCTCGGTGGCGCATTCTGCTGGGCGAACTTTGGAGCTCTTCCAACTCACATTGAACCGCCAATGACTTTAAAAATCATTGCTGTGACGAACTCGCAACTATCTTGTCGGGATAACAGCACCGCTGGTATCACTATTTTTACCGCATATTGGTTTGATAATCTATAACACATCGTTCCCATTTTTGTCCATTTTTGTCCCTGGTGGCCTTATTCAAAGCATCATCTCTGTTCCTGCAGTGTTTCACCGCAGCTCTAGCATTGTTGTGTTCAACCTCCCGCTGTTCGCCCACCACGATTTATCGACTTTGTGCCTAGAGAGAATAGAACGAAATAACGCTGCGTGGGCTTGTGTTCTTGGTCTCTATCCTCTCGTTGAGTCACATATTTCCCTCCCGATTATAAGGAAAGCAGAATCAACCCGCCATGTCTGTCGGCGTACGAGCCGTCGCGGATCGTATTGTCTCGCCAGACGCTCCCCGTGATCCCAGCTTCAACTTCTCCTTCAGTCCGTTCCTCGCAAAAACCTTTAGTTTTGGTCTCGCCTCAGACGTGCCTGTATGCAAAGCCTATCGAGAAGGCCACTGCCCTCTAGGCCCAACATGTCCGGACAGACACCCTACCCCGTCTCGGATCTCCTCCGCCACATCCCCCGCAATCTCCGCCTCTACCCATGGCACCCTCGTCTGCAAACACTTCCTCAAAGGTCTATGCAAAAAGGGCATCAAGTGCGAGTATCTACATGAGTATAATCTACGACGAATGCCCGAGTGTCAGAATTTCGCTCGTACCGGATATTGCCCCAATGGTGATGAATGTCTCTATCAACACGTCCCCGAGGAGGCCAAGTTACCACCTTGCGAACACTACGAGAGGGGATTCTGTGAGCTAGGCCCACTGTGTGCGAAGAAACATGTGCGCAAGAAGCTATGCCGGTTCTATCTGGCTGGATTTTGCCCCGAGGGCCGTGCCTGTCTTGAAGGTTCACATCCTCGGTGGCCCGATAATTTGCCAAAGCCAATGATCAAAGTGGCGAAGACGGAGGCGGATTTGGAACGGGAGAGAGCGAGGATAAGGGAGGAGCAGGAGAAGGAGGAAGAGAGGGAGAGGGAATGGAGGAGGGAGAATCGTGGTCGTGATGGTCGGTTTGGTAGAGGGCGGTACAGAGGGAAGAGATGATTTGGGAGTTTTGTCCTATAATTCCCCTTGAGCAGGCGGAGCTTCTTCTTTCAATATTGGATTCGCGGTTTCTATCCTCTTTTTGTTCCCCTTGTTGCTTCATGTTTGCATGGATGGAGTTACTCTTCAAGGGCCATCTCCGAGTCATTTTGTTCCGGGTTGTGGCGGCGTTGCAGGTTTATATTTTGCTTCTATTACTCATAGCTGAGATTATTCCAATGCAGAGAAATCTAAGGGTACATCAAATCTTCTTGATTCAAGGATCTCTAAGGAGTTTTCCTCGTAGGCTAACTGATCTATGACTATCAGAGACTTTCTGAGTGCAGGTTCTGGAAAAGTGGGTTTCTGTGAATATGATACTGTATTGAAGTGTTCTACATTCATCTCAAGCCATAGATGATTTGGTATTAACTGCATGGATTTAAGATGCCTCAGCAAGTCGATGCTCGAAGTATGGAAGTATTTCCGGATAAATAAGAACCCGAGATGGGAACCGCACGGGCCATCATAATCATGTCAAAACTGTCCAACCTCGAACTTTTGGCCTCCGCTTCAACCTCAACCTTGGGAATCATCAATTCAGAAAGCAACAATTGGATTTGAACATTGCAGCGCACGTGTGAAATCATCAGCTATCTTCTTCTACCGAATACATACAACAAAACTGTCTTTAACCCCATCTTCTCTCTAGAGTACTAATCTCATGCCAGCACAAACCCTGCATAGTCGTTCTGAGCGCAGGTCTGGCAACTCGCCCAGTATCGAGGGACCCCCCCCAGATAGTTCAAGGACTCTCGCGGTTTTCCGGGAATGTTGTCTCCCATATACCACTATTTAAAATGTTTAGCCTAAAGCAAGTTCTTTGGTTGGGTGGGTTCGGGGACGGTTCTAAATGAATTGGGGCGCCTCCGGAATGGATGAACTTACCGATTTAGTAGTGGTGAGCAAACTGGCATATGCAAAATTGTGAACATCCTGTTTCCAGGCTTCCTCTGCATCCCTCGTCGCCTCAATCGTCGAAATGTTCTTTTCACGCATATAATTCATGCAGTTGGCGATCCAATCGCCTTGCAGCTCCGCACAGGTTGGGCCATTGCAGAAAGCCGTGGGAGCCTGAGGCCCGTAGGTGAAGAACATGTTGGGGAATCCGGAAACGCTCATGCCCAAATACGTGAGAGAGCCATCGGCCCATTTCTCGGAGAGGGACACACCAGATGGCCCACGGATGTCAATTTGCTTCATTCCACCCGTATGGGTATCGAAGCCAGTTGCAAGGATCAGCAGGTCAGCTTCGACCTCTTTCTCTATGGTTTTAACCCCCTTAGAGGTGACCTCGACGATTGGATGGCTGCTTATATCCAGCACATCGACGTTGTCTTGGTTGAATACCTCGAAATAGTCCTGCTCCAATGAGATGCGCTTGCATCCAAATGCGTGGGGTTGGACCATGGGGGCAAGGATGTCCCGCTTCCTGGGATCCTTGATTCGCTGGCGGGTCTTCTCCCTCCAGAAGTTGTAGGCTTCTTCATTGGGTTCTTTGACGAAAAGCATGTCGCGGTATGTTGAGAGCCAGAAGCTAAAGTCTCCTTTCTTCCAGAGCTCTTCATAGGTCTCAAGACGCTTTTCGGGAGAATCGTCAAAAGTGTTCTTTCCTAGGAAGTCCCATGTGAACCCTGCAAATGTGGTCGGTCGCTTTTTGAAGATTTCTGGGTACTTTTCCCGAGGATCCTTCTGCTCTCCGTTGGTGTAATATTCCTGTCCCATTGGCAGAGCGAGGTTCGGAGTTCGCTGTAGCACAGTGAGTTCCTTTGCCGCTTTTGCAGCCTCCTGGGTAATCTGCACTCCAGTCGAACCAGTTCCGAGAACTATAACCCGCTTGCCGGTCATGTTAAGCCCGTCTTGGGGCCAAAATGAGGAATGGAGCCATTGGCCCTGAAAGGTATCCAGGCCTTTAAGGTCCGGTATGTAACGCTTTGCCGCAAAACCAGTATTGAGCAAGAGGTACTTGACTTTGAAATGCTGGGAGTCCTGTGCTGTAACATGCCACTTTTTATCGTCGTTATTGAAGATGGCCGAGGTGACCGTCGTGTTGAAGAGGCAGTCTTTGCGAAGATCGAGCTTTTTGTCCACGTGTGCAAAGTATTTACGAATTTCAGGCCCTCCAGGGAAACGTTCGGACCAGGTCCAGTCCTTCCACAGCTCAGGCATGGAGAACTCATAGTGTGGGATATCGGAGTCTACTCTTGCTCCCGGATAGCAATTCCAGTACCAGACACCTCCAAAGTCAGACGCTGAGTCAACGAGTTTGGTCTTATATCCCTCATTTCTCAGCTTCCAGAGCTGATAAACTCCACCAAAGCCTGCTCCTACAATAAGAGCGTCGAGTTCGGTCATATTGTTTGATATGTTTTGCGGACCGTAAACGGGGAGGGGGGGATGGATCGTTTTGTTGAGAAGATTTCCCACTTTGAAAGGGAATCATGTTGTGAATTGAGAGGGTATACTTGGTATATATTTGCAAGTAATGGACAACGTCTCTAACAAGAGGCATGGAAAATTGGACCCTGGCAGCTGAAACATGCGAGCCGCGTATTGCGTCAAGATGGCTGACAGGCCTGGTTGGGTGCGAGACTTAGCGGTAAACTAATTGTCCTCTCTGTTGCCACGTCCTTTTTGATGGTTTCCTTGAAAATATAGTTTTATTGGAAGCCATTTAGTTTCACCGTCCAAGATGTGATTATTCGAGCTAATCCTCCACGCTCTACAGAGATTTGTTTGAACATGAGATGATAGCAGATCACCCTCATTTTATAATCTCCCACGCACATTCGAGTACGATGCCTTCCAGCTTCCGAACTTGACTTGAATTTGACCTTATTTGCTGACTCTTCCTTTCACCTTTACTAAAGGTGGTCATTGTCATGATGTCATAAACTTATCAGGGTGATTATTTTCAATTCTTTCCGCCTTACAAGTGCTGCTTACATTCATGGAATCAAACAATGCAGGTCATGCGTGATGCTTTGTGTTTTAAAACACCCGAAGCTGCACGGGAAAACCAGCGAAAGGACCATGCAATGTAGTCTCCAACTCATGTTTGGCACCCCAGACTAGCATGAAAAAATACCACCAGTGCCAACAGTTTCAAGACTGAGCTGGGAAAAGCCCGGTTGAGCTCTTGAGAAGGTGCGCTGGAATTAATCTGACAAGCAACTTACAATTATTTGAAATTGATGTGTCGTCGGAGTTACACTGTTGCAAAATGGCGATTGAAACCCGACAGACAGCGCTGCTAACGTTGACTGGACTGTTGCGGACAACGCTAGGCTAGTGAGAGGCTAGAGGCGCTATGGCCGTTTGAGATGCGTCTAAGCTTCTGCTTTTTGAACTGCCTTCTCTTGCTAACTTGGGCCACGGACTTGGACACTTCGACCTTTGGGTTGCTGAAACTGCGGCAGCAGCGGGATTCTGGGACCATTGAGCCTTGGCAGCGACAGTCATTGGAATTTGCCAAGCTTAGATGCCATTTGTCCCCATCTCATCCCTCCTCGTCTGTCATCGACTCGTCTTCAGAAGCGGAGATAAGCTTGGTCATATCAACGTTTGTTGAAACTCCCCAACGTCCATGCTTTATTGAAGCGATTCATGATCATCAACCCCAGGGGAGACATTGATCTCAGCACTCTTTCTGGTATGTTGCTATTCTATCATTAGGGGAACGAGTTGGTATATTGTCAGTCCAATGAGGCAGCATTCGTCTGGCCCGGTCGTATCATCCCCTGAGGATTGCTTTTGGCATCCACGTATTGACAAGGATTAGCTATTATTACTTAGACCATTTGACGAGAAGCCTGTAACCCCGCATGGTTTTATTTCGGAACATCGCAAGACTCCATATTCTAACGGCCTTTAGTTTGGTGGAGCATTTCCTTTGCTATACCACGATGGGCATTCCGTGCACGCGGGATACTTCCCTGCAACATGGAACCGCTTTTCAAATAGCAACGTTTCAGACGGCTCAAAAATTTTTTGGATTCAATCAGCGTAGCGGAATCAATTCCCTGTTCCGAAGCTGGAATCTTTATACAACCAAAAGGCGGAGAATGACACCCAGATCCCTGACAATTCCAGCATCAATGATTAGACACTCCTCAAGAAACAAATTTTGCAGTCTCTCCCAAGGCGTGATGAGCTTGTTTTGACTTGGGTCGAGGCCACATTCTCTGCCGCCTCAAAAACCAATGATCTGGGTCGCTCAGTTTCCTGAGAAGTCTTATTTGCTATCAACCAATAGCAACCGCTTTCCCTTGTCTTGATCGAAGCTTTGGGGAAAAGATCATCAGGAAAAAAAATCAATGCTCCCTGCAAACTCTTGTTGACAGAACTCTGTTCTCTGTTTCGGCAGCTAGACCTTTAACTGTCTAGACAAAAATAGCTTTTGGGTTAGTCAATAACGATGTAGATGTTGGACTCTCGATTCACATCGCTTTCCCTTTGCTTTTTGGTAATCTAGCAAAAGGGAGAATCCTGCATCAAACATGTATTTTTTTATTGCTTCATCGCTCTTAGTGGCCTGGGATGAAGAATTTTAAATATCTGCTGAAAGATCACCTTCACTTCAATCCTTGACATCTTTCATTTTTTTTTAACCATTGTTTTACGAAAGCATTTCTTTTCCATTCAATGTTTATACAATATTTGAACAATTTCACTGTTCTCTAGATTGATTGGTCTTTTGATTTGTCCTCATTATGGGAAATGCCCCGAGTGCCCTGATTGAAACATGGGCCGAATTCTCTGTCGGCTCCTGCATCATTCTCCTGCGTGTGTTCACCAGATTGAAACTGGCCGGCTTCCGTGGTTTGCAAGCAGATGACTACTTAATCATTCCTGCCTGGGTCAGTAATTCTCAAAACTTCCAAAGTATGGCCTCATAGATTGGTGCGCTGACACATCTCCAACAGTTCTCCTACGCAGCAATGACAGCAATGGCCCATATTGTAGGGTATGCTGGAGACACAGGCAATATACCTGCTGCTCAGCGGGCTTCGATGTCAGATGAGGAGAGAGCGCTTCGATCACTTGGCTCAAAATGCTTCATGGTCGGTTGGTATACGTACATTGGCCTAATCTGGACTTTGAAAATGAACATGCTCTTCTTTTACAAACGGGTGGTCAATGGTCTGTGGGTTGAAAAGTATATCTTACCTGCCCAGCTCCTCGTGGGAGCCACAGGCGTATCAATAATGTTCTTACTTGGACTCACATGTCGACCTTTCCACAAACTGTTTCAAATTTACCCAGACCCAGGTCGTAAGTTGTCCCTATACCCAGCACCGAGAGCAACAGCACGACTAATCGTACTTGGTACCTAAGCGCTCTGCACACCTCAAAGCCTGGCATTTTTGATACCTATTCTTCTAATGAACATATCTACGGACTTGATGATCATGGCCATCCCCTTACCGGTAAGACACCCAACTCGACCTGGCCCCCCTGAGAAGAGTACTGATTTCTTCTCTTGTCGGCTTCAGGTTCTCGCTAAAATGCGTGTTTCAACCGGTCGAAGACTCGGCATTTTCATTCTCTTCGGGGCCGTTATCTTTATCATGATTGCTGCCTGCCTTCGTGTCTACTTCGTGATAGCAGTACGTATTAATATCCGCTAACGAAAAGAATCATTTGTTTTCCGGTGTCTAACGTGATGGTGATCAGCTGAAAACCGGACCAACCGCTGCCATTTGGTCTTGCAGAGAAGATCTGGTAGCAGTATTTGTCGGAAATGCACCGTTAATTCGACCTCTTTTTAGCAGAAAGTTGTGGCTTGGGGGCTACAAGAATAGCAGAACACCTGCTGGGGAGTCTGTTGAACTCTCCGGAAAATTTGGCTCTGATCGAGGCAACAACAAACGGAGTAGTCGGTTGTTTTATTCGAGGGATACGAAAGCGACCAACGTGGAGTCAGACAGCATGGAAAGAATCATGGAAAACGGCAGGGACGGCGAGTTACCTCCCATGGTAATTCAGGTGCGGAAGGACGTGCACGTTGAAGGTGTCGAAGACAGTTCTGGTGGAGGGAAGACGGCATGGCAGCAAGCATATCGCAATACATTCAGGAATCCTTAGGGCCACAGTTGACTAGTGCGCTCGAGATCGGCCTTCCGTGGGTTACTTGCGCCATTGTACCAGAAACCAGCGCAGCACCCAGTCGGCCTTGATGGCTTCGATGATGTCAATCATGCGTTTGGCATTCTTCAGGGAATGAATTATTAGAAGATTCATCGCAACATTATGTCTCTTGGGCGGGATAGATTTGAAAAGCTTAGATGTGGTATCTCTTTGGTGGTGCCGTTTTACCTTTTTTACTTTTGCGGTCGTGGAACTCGCTAGATTTGCAAGAAGAGCATACAACATTTATAACAAATATACATGCAATTCAGAAGGCCCTGGAGGTCTGACATTACCATTGACCATCACTTTCAGTTTAATTATTCTCACGTTAAAAAAAAAAAAAAAAGAAATCAACAAACCACCAGTATGGGATACATCACATTTCGGGCACATTCGATAATACGGATTCCAGGGGTATTTCCCTGCTTTCAGATTTTCCCAAGAAATCGTCAGAGGCACGGCACAGATCAAGGGCCTAAGAGTAGATAGCGGCTTTGTTAGCCTGGCCGGGCTAGTTGTAGCAGTGGAGCCCAAGATACGCAAGCAAAAAAAGTAGTAGGTATATTACTGCCGTGTGAAGAATACGAAGAATCAATAACTGACCCCGTTGATCGCCGCCAGACATTCTGGACGGATAGACGTAATGCGGGAAAAAAAAAAAAAAAAAAAAAAAAAAAAAAGAGAAGAAAAAAAAAAGACTCTCTTATTCTGCAAAGTTAGGGGGAGCAACTAGCCAAAAATTACGATGAATAAGTATCTACATTGAACAACTTCTAAATGACCAAAGCGCTTCTAGTTGTGTGATGCGATGTAGTTGCTCTCCCTCCGTGATTGAGCCGGGTGACAGCATTGAACATGACATATATAAAAGAGGAACAAAAGCTTGTGTGTTGTGTGGCTCCCCCAAACTAAGCATCGAACGGGACAGATTGCTAGATTCGCCCGGCAGAGGAAACTCCCAGGCCAAGGATGTTGTTAGCTGCAGATTGTATATATAACCCGGTCGAGGCCAGCCGACATCCGCCTGTCTGTCGCGCTAGCAAACAGACACAGTCTTTGGCTTATCCCGAACTATCTCGGAGCAAAAATCACTCGGGCGGGGTTCGTCGCTTTCCTCCTCTCTTGCTCGTCCGCCTCAGCCTTGAGGCCCTTGATGTTGTAAACTACCAACCGCCGCACCAATGCCGCGGGAAGAACATCCATTGCCAGTTTCTGCAGGCGGTGACGCCAATACGGGGTGACTGAAACGCAGCCACAGCCCACGCGTCTCAGCGACGAGCGGGCAATCTTGTCGGGCGTCGGGACGAAAAAGCCGCGCCCCAGAGGGTTTCCTGCGGTCTGCACGCTGGCCAGAACCATGGACATGACATCGATCTGTTTGCCCTCCGCTTTCATCTCCATGTTCAATCCATTCGTGAACGATTGGATGTACGCCTTTGTGCCGGCGTAGACGGTCAAATAGGGCATTCCCACCGCGGTTACGGAGGAGATGTTTACGATGAGCGCGGGGGAATGGCGCTCGAGGAGCGGAAGAAGCACGCGAGTGAGTTGCGTCATGAATCGCAGGTTGACGTTGATTATGCGGTCTGCCTCATCGTTCGTGTGGCCCTTGAGAGTCGTATACTGCGAACGTATCTGGCCGCCGGTGCCGCCGACGTTGTTCACGAGGATCGCGAGAGGGATGTCGTGGAGTGTTCTGGTAACGGCCTCGTCGAGGGAGTGGGTGGGCTGCGACGCATCGAAGATGAAATGGCGGAATTTGGCGAGCGGGAATTCACGCCTCAGGCTGGCCTCGACGTGTGATAGCTTCTCCGGGTTGCGGCCGTGGAGGACGATGTTGAAGCCGTACCTGCAGAGCTCCCGGGCGAATTCGGTTCCTGTGCCTTCCGTGGAGCCTGTGACGAGGGCATACGAGCCTCTGGTTTTATCTAGATATTTCGGTAGGCTGGAGGGACGGAGGAACAAGGTGTAGATGTGCTGGCAGGCTATGAAGAGGAGGTGCAACAGTGCGAGGGCACCGACGGCGGTAAAAACGGATAGCACTATCTTGGAGGAGTCCATGGTGTTGAGCAAGTATCGTGTACATATATATAAATGGTTGGTTAGTCAAGTCTACTTTGGCTGATTGTGATTAATCGCAGTAGCTGGGAACGGCGACGATAGAATAGTTAGATCCTATGCGACAACGAGGCGGGTCGTTCAGGGAGGAGACTTGCAGCAGTCAAGAGGACACAATGACCATGCAGCAGTTACAATTGTTCGATTTAGGATTCTTCCCGAGACGTCACTGACATGGACGGGAGTGGGAGGTGGCTGTGGTGACCGATGTGAAGTAAACATTCTACTGATAGCACTCGATTCAGCATCTTCTGCAGCAGCAGCAGCAGCAGCAGCAGCAGCAGCACGCAGCAACAGCACGCAGCAACAGCATGCAGCAACAGCATGCAGCAACAGCACGCAGCAAGAAAGGATAATCCAAGCGGTGGACGGTTGTCTCCTGCTTGTGTTGGGTGTCGATTGTTTTATTTGCCCTCTCCGAGCGCCATGACGCTCGTACTAAGCCACTGTCGTCGCCATTCATAGAGAAGAAAAGCACGTAAAGTTCGGTGTTTACGACGGTTTCATTCAGGCCGTTTAGGAGAGGAGAGCATTTTGGTTGGAACTGTGTGTGGCAATCCCGATTCCCCAACCAAAGGCACAGGCATATATATATATATATATATATATATATATATAATAGATGATGGATACATACAGAGGGTCCGTCCTTGCTCCATCATCTGCTTCACACATTGCAACGAGTAGCTATTCGATTTACTTGCGATGGGTTCAACAGCGGAGGGGAGATGCTACAGCAATTCTAAGTTTACGTTGTCTTGCCATTCAGAGTGCAATTGGAGTCCTCTGTAGTAGTAGTAGTAGTAGTAGTAGTAGTAGTAGTTAAAGCCCCTCGAGAATATAGACATTAATTCTCACAATGGCCTTGCCTTGATTTTGGAACGGGTTTGCATACCGAGTTGCCACCGATAAAAACCTGAGGACTTACTTGATTCTACCGTCAGTTGGATAGCAATACCCATTCCACCCCCAGCATTGAATAATGCGGATCTCACGCTCCTTACCATGATCTGCAATCCTAATCAATCAATCGACCTCCATGGGGGAAGCAGGGAATCCAGCATCCCTGTGACTGACCAGATGAAGATGCGGATCTAGTTCATGGGTTAAAAAGCCTGGAATCGATTGATACAACATTCATACATATCATCCGTCGTGACTCGGAATTCATTCATCATCCATTACATATCAACTCAACTCCGGGAGAGGCTGGATTATTGACGTAAATGTATACAGACATAAATATAAATGTAACAAAGGGAAATAAGAACACCAGGTCTCCCTGTCAACATGCATCGCGAGACGCAGGATTGTTCAACCTGCAGTGATTTATTTACCAGGCCAATGGTAAGCAGCTTGCGGGAGGAACAGGGTTTATGAACCAACCGCCGACTTGGACGTACCAAGCCATTAACCAACTAATAAACTAATAACTACCAACCAGTTAATAACTAACTATAGTCTGCTTGGTCATTCTTGCGTAAGAATCGCGGAAGGGCTGCAGACCCTTCGCGGTTTGGCGGTCGGTGGGGTGAAGGGGGCAAAAAGTCTGGCACTATATAATCCCGGACTCCCCCGGCGCCCCCCTCACCGACAGCAAACACAACAACACAACAACACCCAACACCCAACACACAAATTCCACAGTTCCGAAATTCCTCAATTCTACAGTTCTGTTCCTCGTAGCATCCGCTTCTCCGCAGTTGTCAGCACCAATTGGCCTGAACCATCACCATGGCGCCAAAGATCGCAATTGTGTTTGTACGTCCACTTATACCCACTTCCCCCTCCCCCCTCCCCCCTCCCCCCTCTCCCCCCCCCGCGTTGTTTGCTTGCATCTTCGTCCCTGCGTCTAAACAGGATTTGTCTGTCCAGTACTCGTTGTATGGCCATATCCAAAAGCTTGCTGAGGCTGAGAAAAAGGGCATCGAGGCTGCTGGAGGCACAGCAGATATCTACCAGTATGTCACCCTGTTCGGAAACAGGCCAAGCAGCAACAGTTTTCGCTTCACAACCTCCCCGTGATCCCGTTGCTCCCCCGCCATCTCCTTCCGTAATGGTGGCTGGGCTGACGTATCTGTGTCACCCCCAGAATCGCTGAGACCCTGCCACAAGAGGTTCTCGACAAGATGCATGCCCCCGGGAAATCATCCTATCCCGTCGCTGAGCCAGCCACGCTGCTGAACTACGACGCTTTTCTGTTTGGTATTCCAACCCGTTATGGGAACTTCCCTGGCCAGTGGAAGGCGTTCTGGGACAAGACGGGGGGCATCTGGTCGACGGGCGGCTTCTGGGGGAAATACGCGGGTCTCTTTGTCTCTACCGGCACGCCCGGCGGCGGACAGGAGTCTACCAACATCGCTGCGATGAGCACCCTCGCCCACCACGGTATCATCTACGTTCCGTTGGGGTACAAGACCACGTTCCCCATCCTGGCCAACCTCGATGAAGTGAGGGGGGGCAGTCCCTGGGGTGCTGGAACCTATGCTGTATGTCGCTCTTCTCTCTCTCTTCCCCTTTCCCCTTTCCCCTTCCCCCCCCCCCCCCCAGGAAGAAGGTGGGGAAAGTGGTGGGGAAAAAATATTGGGGTGGTCTGTAAAAATATCTCAGCCGAATGTACGAAGTGGGTTGAAAAGTATGAAGGGGGACAAGTGGAGTTAGGAGGAGTATTCGTGTGCGTTGTTGTCACGGAGGGGTGATGAGCTTGTAGATTGAGTGATTACTGGTGTGTGCTGATAGAGAAAATGTTGATGTGAGGCTGATATACGTAAAAAGTACTAGATGACTAGGTAGTAGAAAAGCCGATAGAGTGACTAGCCTCAAGATAGGATAGGGAAGAAGACGACTGCGTTAGTAATGTAAATGTGTAGTGATAAATATAAAATTTGTACACGTACTTGCGATGAATTCGCGAGATCT